ATCATCGGCATCATCATCATAATCATCATCGTCATCAGCATCATCATCCATCATCATCCATCATCATCATCGGTCATCATCGGTCATCATCATCATCATCATCATCATCCATCATCATCATCATCATCCATCACCATCATCATCCTCATCATCGTCATCATCCTCAGCAGCCATCATCATACTCATCAGCATCATCATCATCTTCATCATCACCACATCCTCATCATCCTCGGCATCCTCATCATCACCACATCCTCATCATCCATCATCATCATCATCATCATCATCATCATCATCATCATCATCATCATCATCATCATCATCATCATCATCATCCATCATCATCATCATCATCATCATCATCATCATCGGCATCATCATCAGCATCATCATCATCATCATCATCATCATCATCAGCACCATCATTGTCATCATCATACTCATCGTCATCATCATCATCGTCATCATCATCATCATTCATCATCATCATCACCACCATCATCATCATCATCACCATCATCAGCATCATCATCATCATCATTCAGCATCATCATCATCATCATCATCATCATCATCATCATCATCAGCATCATCCATCATCCATCATCCATCATCCATCATCATCATCATCATCATTATCAATCATCATCATTATCGACTTCGTCATCATCAGGGTTAGAGGTTAGGGTTAGAGGTTAGGGTTAGAGGTTAGGGTTAGAGGTTAGGGTTAGAGGTTAGGGTTAGAGGTTAGGGTTAGAGGTTAGGGTTAGAGGTTAGGGTTAGAGGAGGTTAGGGTTAGAGGTTAGGGTTAGAGGTTAGGGTTAGAGGTTAGGGTTAGAGGTTAGGGTTAGAGGTTAGGGTTAGAGGTTAGGGTTAGAGGTTAGGGCTAGAGGTTAGGGTTAGAGGTCAGGGTTAGAGGTTAGAGTTAGAGGTTAGAGTTAGAGGTTAGGCGTGTCAAAAATCCGCCGCGGGACCCCCCCTCCCCCCCTCAGACTCCCCTAACCACCACTTAGAACACGCCTCGCCCCTTTGCAGAGACTAACTTGGCTTTTGCAAAGGGGTCGGCGGATTTGGAGTAGGGGGTTGGTTTCCCCCCGGGTTCTCATCACTCAGGGAAATCGGATTCATCGGCCAATCGGATCTCCCAGGTGTGTGGTGATCGCCTGGGCGGTGGACACGGCCACCAGCACCTCCTTGCCGGTGGACCCCATGCTGCTCGAGATGACATCCAGGGGATCCATTGACCTCCGAGAATTCCGAGAGTTCCAACAAAGACTAGGTCCCCCAGTACTGTGGATGGACGGAATCCGTTCGCACCACTTTGAAACAATGGGAAACAGTTTGTTGTTGGTATTTAAGCTTTGTTGAGTGGTGCAGGATTTCGTCCATCCACAGTAGTGCCCTTTTACCAACTTTTTTGGGGGGAGGGTTCCCCTGCTAAAATAGACAACAGAAAGAAGTTGGTACCCTTATTCTAACGTCTCTATCGAATCCCCTCAAAAATTGAGTGTCCTTTTTTTTACCTGGTTGTTGTAGGTAACCAAGGGAAGGGTTGCCTACTAGGCGAACTGGAATTGAATGGGTGCCACTTTACTTGGATCTTCGTTGCAAAGTTAGTAAGTGGTTGCTTGCTGGTTCCCAGCCATCCGGTTCCTTAGCTTTTGTTAGCAAACAAAGCAACTGTTTAGTTGGCGACCAGTGGGGGGTTCCCTATTTGGGTTTCGTTTTGTCTTGGGTTTAAGGCGCCCCGGGTTTGTTGACCTCGGTTCTAAGTAGAACACGTCCTACTCACAGGTGCGGAAAACACCCTCCAAAAGTGGTCTGAATCCAATCACAAGTCTAGGGGACGATTCCCCATGTTGTTCAACAATTGTTCTTGCCTAAAAATCCGGCCATTTCCCTTGCGTTTCGGGCTAGAAAGAAGGATCCGGATCCCTGAAAGAATGGAAATGGAAATGGTACCCCTGGAAGATGACCACCCCCCAGCTCTCAAGATCCACCCAGGTGACTCTGGGGGTTCCCATTCCACCAGGTTCGCTTCATTCCCTAGACCCCCCTCTGGGTGAATTTGAGGATCCAGGTACCAATTTCTGGGGGCCACGGGAGAGAGGACGGGGCCATCTGAAATTTTGAAACGTCAAAGAGAGGAAGGCGTTAAGGAGGTTACCAGCGAGCAGAAGGATCTGGGTGACTTTTCTCCGGGGTGGAACGGGAATGTTTCACTACTTGACATGTGTTTCTTGTCTCCAGGGGACTCATCCCCGGAACAAAGCCAGCTTTGCTGCTTCGGGTTTTCCGTTGCCAGTGGAGGCTTGAGGAGGGAAACCCCCCAGAAGCTCCGGGTGTTCGAAGCTCTCACGCGGTTTGCATGGCTGAGGTCAGGCCCTTGTGGGTTATGACCCAAGTGGCTAACTAAAAAACTAACTTGGCGAATCCAACAATGCATGTAAAGAAAGACGAGCCCAGCTGTGGCTTGCCCTTTTTGACCCGAAGCACGAGGGAATGAGGTGGTTGCCTATAGCAAAAAGCGAATCGACCATATTTAGTCTGTTGGTTTCAAAAGGTGATCTCCATGGGTTTGAGGGTCTAGGTGGGTTAAGACGGAACTGTTACCGTTACGACTTACCAGCTTCGCGGATTTCTCACACAGTCCCAGTTTATGGGAGGTACCATCGGCGGGTGGGAGGTTGAGACCCCCTTCAGCTTCGTTAGGGTTCCTTAACATCAGAGGGCTCCTTAAGGGACTAGGATTCCAGTGGGGTTCCTTAGGGTTCCTTCCAGGGTTCCTTCCGTTCCTTCTAAGGGTTTTCCTTAGAGGCCTTAGGGACTCCCCTAAAAATGGTCGCCGTTTGGGGGTTCTTTCGGGTTTCTCGGGGGGTCCTTCGGGAGACCTCCTCCCGGAAGTGAACTCCAAGTCCTTTGGCTCGAGGCTCCTGCGGCTTCTGCGCCTGGTGAAGCTCTTCCGCCTGCTGCGCCTCATCAGGCGCCGCGTCCGCGCGGCGCCGCCGCGGCTTCTTCCGTCGGTAGCTGGGCGTCGCGTCGCGTCGGTCGGGAGCAAAACCCCTGAAAAAAGGCCCCGGGTGTGCTAGAAAAAAAAACGGGGTTTCAAGTTGAATTCACCTGGGTTCTATACCCAGTACGAAAAATACGAGGTGGTTGGTCTCCTCCCGAAAGTTGGGCATGGTCCATGTGGGTCTGTCTTTCTTTGAGGCTCGGCACCCCCTTTTGGCGGCACAGCTATGGCCAGCGTTGCTGGGCACCTGGATAATTCTCCTACACGTTGTGTCCTCAAAAACTCACACGCACCAAGGGTTTTGGGAACCCAGTAGCCACTTTTGTTGGGGGTCCAAAACCTATTTCAAGACACTGGGGTGCTTCTAAGGTCCAGGTAAATTCACCTCAACCCTTGGCCAAAGGGATCGGATTTACCCCACATGATTCGACCTGTGGTTTTCAGGTATCCCCATCTAAGACACACGCAAATGGTCATGACCGGTCACAAGGCAACCACTACTACAAGGCAACCACTACTTCCGTTACTTGGCTCAGACGTGCTCCGGCTGTGGGGGAGTATATAATTATGCTAACCATCTACCTTACATACCGAATCGCTGGTTCCTTAAAGCAACCTGGTGGCTGCCCTTTGTTCTTTCTGTTTGGTGGGGGGCGTCCCTTCAATTTAAGAAAGAACCACAAGCACAACAAACTAGGTTTTCCAGCTAGCTGCCCTATTCCCTTTTTTGGGGGAGGGTGCCCCTACTAAAATAGACTGCAGAAAAAAAGGGTACCCGTATTCTAACCTCTCTGTTGGAGGACCTAGCAAAGGGATTTGGGTGTGTTTTGTTTTAGGGGACCTGCAGCATGGCTTCGGTGTTTCTTTTGGCTTGTCTTTAAAACCACAAAAGCAACGGTACCAACTCCAAAAAAGCCGAGCCACCCTATATACAAAAGAGCCACAGAACCACAGCAGGCTGATGCCGTCCTTTTCTGGTCCAAGGAAAATGTTCTGCGGCGTCTTAGAGTGTTAGCTCGCGTGGACCCTGCAAGGAACGCGAGTCGACATCGCCTTTCTATAGCAGGGGCTTTGCTTGTGGCTGTATATACCTGAGGCACCCAACGTGCCCTTTTTTTTAGGTACGAGAAAAAATCGCTCGAATTACCGATTTCTGCTCGACCCCGCAAAAAACGCTCGCACCCCGAAAAACGCTCGACCAAATCCCTTCTTCCATCCACAGGACGGCGGGCATTGTTACGTTTTTTGAATTTGCACTCGTTTGCGGATATTTGCGCTCGTTTTGCGGATATTTGCGCTCGTTTTTCACTTCGGATTCTGCTCGCTCCTGCCGAAAATTCAGCGACCGATCATCTTGGAGGACCGACCAGCCCGGTTTTGGGAAAAACGCTCGAAGCAGGAAAAAGTGTACATTTACCGTATTTTGGTGACGACCCCTGGTTTTGCAATACGTTTGGGCTAAGGGCAGAAATTTAGGTAACGAAGGGTGCTCCAGGTATATATATATATATATCCCATATTAGTTTAGCAATCTGGTAGTGGAAGCCACCTAGCCCTAGGTTGCCCGGCTTTTGCGTTGGTTAGTTTGTTGGGGGGGGGGGGGGAGGAGTTTTCCATTTAACCCACGCGCAAGTAGGTTGCTCCACTTCGGCTTTTACCTGGGTTAGGCTGTGGGGTGGTTTTCCATTTAACCCACAAGCTCTTCACTTTACGCAGATCAGAAAACGGAGAGCCCAGCGTTCTCGCAGGAAAGTGAAGGGCTTCGACTCCTTGTACATTATGGTCGGGGCCCGAGCTAGGTTTTTGCGCTCTCGCCGGGTTTTGAACGATTGGGCGAGCAGGTTGCCGAGATGAATTCCATTTGGGTCAGGATAGGGACATTGGTGTCCTTTTTGGTTGTTTTGGTAGAAGAATAGATGGCCCTGGTTTGCCTGGTGGTTTAATTATTTATCAGGGCCATCTGTTTGCCCTAAAAGGCACCTATGATAGGGGAGGTTCCCTCCTGGTTTCCGCTTAAGACCACTCCAAAAGGCAGTTCCCGCCACACCCAGCTGCCTACGAAAACGCGTTTTCTTCAGGAAGTGAGTCGGAGTTCTTACTAAGGCTGCGGGTCAGGGTGCTGTGGTAATCTCCCAGGCTATTTGGGGTAAACTTTGGTGCATGTTGCTTGGCTGTTAGGACTTTAACTTTTTGCCAACTAATGGGTTTTCCACTAAACCACTAAAAGTTAAACTTTTTGCAGGGGAGCAGAAAGCAACTGAGTAAATGCTGGCGCAGTTGATTTTCCCGTGTTGGTTGAGGGAATTTACCACTCGAAATAGATGTGTTTGATCTATTCTTCGGGACTTCAGCAAATGGATGTGTTCTGAGACCCCCACACTGGACCGTTTTGGATACTTCCTACTTCAAGTCCCCTCGTTTTGTAGCTGGACTGTTTTTTTGAGAAACCAAGGTTTTCCAAGGTAAATACAACTCCTTTGCTAGTTAGGGATTGACTTATTGATGCCAACCAAGTCCCACGTTGGTTTGTGGAGGCGGGAGGATAGTCACACTGGGCGTCCTCACCCGATTTCGGCTTGCCAAAAGAGCGGGCACTAAACGGCAAGAGCAGTTTTCATCAAAAACGTTTGATTGCCTTGTCTGTTTTTGGAGCCCTGGTACCCTGGGGTGTGACCTTAATTAAACATGCTGAGAGGTTGGTTCAGTGTTGGAGCCAGATGTTCCATATACGTCCCCACAAGAAGGTGTCTTTCGTTGTCGTTTTACTGGGAAACGGAAGGACATCTGTTCTGGGCTCCCCTTTTTAAAGGGAAACCGAAGGGAACCAGATGTTGCAGGGCTCCGCTAATTTGGACCCGAAGGCACTGCCTGGACCCCCAAAAAATTTCCCCATCAAGTCGGGTTGTAGCAGTGCAAAATATGGTCGAGGAATCAACCAGCAGTTGTGACCACCATAGGTGTCCTTTTAGGAGAAAATAGATGGCCCTGGTAGATGATTAAACCACCAGGTAAACCAGGGCCATCTATTTTGCTAGCAAAACACCCAAAAAGGACACCTATGGTGACCACAGTCGTCACCAAGTTGGTGCAAGCCGGCTACTTCAAACTCCCACCGGGAAAAACAAACAAGAAAAGAAAGAAGAAAAACAAGAAAAGGGGCTCCCGCTGGTTTTTGCTGCCCACCCCCCACTTTGCTAGGTTCTTCCAGCTCCAGGTATGGGGTTTTGGTCGCACAGGTATGGGGTGGCATCCCATTCTTAAGGGTAGTTTGAGGGTCCAGGAGCTCTCATACCTAATTCACTTGGTCATGTCACCACGTTAGCGCAAGTCAGCTGAGTTTCCCCCCACTTTTGTACGTAGGTTCTCTTCCAGCTCGCGGCTCGTTTTGGTCACTTTTGTAGGTTCTTCCAGCTCATTTTGGTCCATGGCTCAGGTCACTTCGATCAAGGCCTCCTTCTCGGCTTTGCTCTGGTCCACAGTGCTCCTCTTCGCGGTGCTCACGCGCCCTCGACTGCGAAACGACTCCGATCCGCGCGAGGGCGGTGGGTTTGTGGGAGCTTCACCTGGTCCCCCAGCTAGGTGCCCTTTCTCACCGTTTCCTTTTTGGGGGGGAGGGTTCCCCTAAAGCAGACTACGGAAAAAAGTTGGTACCCCAAACCCTAACCTCTCTACCTGGAGGACATGGTCACTTGTCATGCTTTGGAGCCGGGTGGAACCTTCCACCCGAACCATTGGGCCCTTTGAAGGGGTCGAAGCAGCCGTTTTGAGGGCCGTGACCGATGCTTAGGGCAGTGGGATGTGCCCGAAACTGGGGTCAATCTCTTGTTTTTAAGGGTACCTGCTACCCCTCAATTTCTACAATTGCAACTGCCTCCTGAAGTAGGGTTAAGCCAGTCCACTAGCCATTCGCTCGCCCGGGGGAATTCTTTTGACAGCGCTCCCCACACGTTTCGTGGGCCTGGACGATGGGTGGTTCGAGCAACTTAGTGTCTGGGCCCTTTGGACCCGGTTGCACTCATCCCAGAGGCAACCGGCTCCCGATTCACCGATTCATTAACCGGGGGCGCTCATTCACCGCCAGGTTTTGAGATCCCCAAACACCGGCCCGCGGGGTGTCCAATGCTTCGGGGTGGGGTCTTTGTTGAACCAGGCCCTAGACTAGGTGAGGTGACGAGATTTCCAGGGGACAGGGGCACCCCGCATTTTTTGTTGGCAGTGTTGACCCTGGAGTAATACACTTCTGTTCAGATGGTTGAACATCATACCAATCAGGGGAACTAATCAGAGGAACCTCAAAAACCGAAACCCACTCTTAATCAACCCCTGTTCATCAATATCAGGGTGTCCCTGAGTTTCGCGGGCATCTATCGCTTTTGGAGGGAACACCCCTATATAATTATTAAACAGGGGTGGGTTTATCCGGGGTCAACATTAGTTGTTTTTTCAAGGGAAGCCCCGTCCAACAAAAAGTTGAGGGGCACAGGTCTTTGGATGGACTGGGTGCCTCTAAAATCTCGAGCAGCTTGGCTGGATCTGCCCCGAAAGGACCTACGGGGCTTTTGCCTCGCAACTAAGTATGTTGTAACCATCGTTAGAAGGGGCACCCCAGTTACTCCCAGTATGAACTACCTGGACCCTCAAACTACGCTACCTAAAGGCTTCTGGGGCTTTCAATGTCTTTAAGCACAAAATGTCCTTGAACCACATCTCCTTCTCATCTTCCTTGAATGGGGCCCAGGTGTTTTTTCATTTTTGCTCAATGTCAACATGTTGGAGGGTTCTGTTGCCCTATATACTTCCATTGGTTAACAATATTTTTCCCCTGTTGGTTTTAAAGGGAATCTATCACAGCTGGAAATACTTTTATTTTTTTCCCCTGAATGAGGTATAGGTTACTTCTCATTTCCGTTTTTTTGTTTAAGCCGAGGACCATCGCGCTGGTGCTGACGACCCTAGTGGAGGTCTACTTGAACGACGACAGCCAGCCCTTGGAGCGACGGCTGCGAGTCTTCACGTACTACGGGACCTTCACCCGCTGCTCCCTGCACCTCGTTTGGCCTCGCTTCGCCTCGATTCGAACGAGGCCTCGCTTCGGGCCTCAGGCCTCGGTTCAACGATGCCTTGCATAGCTGCCCGAAGGGTTTCCGACTGTGGATGATGGAATCCATTTCGCAGCACTTTGAAGCAATGGGAAACAATTGTTTGTTGGTATTTACAGGGGAATCATCATCCCAAGCTTTGTTGGGTGGTGCAGGATGTCGTCCATCCACAGGATGTCTTACGTAGCTGCCCGAAGTCGGTTTCTAGGTCCCCGAGCTAGGTGCCCTTCCTCACCGTTTCTTTTTGGGGGAGGGACCCCCTTTTTTGGTTGGGAGGGTTGCCCTACTAAAATAGACTACAGAAAAAAGCTGGTACCCTTATTCCAAAAGTTGGCCCCCTTATTATTAATCCCGTCGCGGCAAAAATGATGGTTTGGATTGGTGGTGGGATTTGGAATTCAGGCGCTTTTTGAGACATGGGACACCGCCCAATCTCCAAGCCCTTTTCGACCTGGGTATCTTCAACCAGATCAGAGTACTTGGGATTTGGATCTTTATATTCAACCAGTTCAGGGTATTTGGGATCTTACCCCCAGCAACTTGTTTCAGGGTATGATAGGCTATGATGCCAACCAATCCTTGCCAAAAAAAAGCAAATTATCGGCACTTGCCTTGGAAAACCGATCGCAAAACACAAATACGCAGCGGTGGCTGGTTGGAGCTGATTGGGGGGTAGGCTATGACCCTGCTTTTTGCAGTGCAAGTATTGTATTAACCTTGTTGGATGAACCAAAGCCTTCGAATATTAAACAAGACACAACGGTGTGTCAACCTTGTTGGATTGAAGCAGAGAGAAAGCAAAGAAACCAACGATGCCGACCACTTCCCAGGCCGGGTGTTGCTTAGATCCGGGGTGCCCGTTGCCCAATGAAGCGCAAAACGCCCACGAAAGCGCTCCGAGGACGCTGCTCGAGCTGACGTTGGCCAACTGGGTGCCGGCCTCCAGGGTCCTCACCGCGCCTCGTGCGAGAGATTGATCTACCTGGAGTCCCCATGACCCCTACACGAATATTGTTGAAGGCGGAATTTTGAGGGTACAGGTACTTCAATAAACAAACAAGAAACAAGACTGAAGGACTACCTGGAGTCTCCTTCTGACCCCTAGAAAAAGAGGTCATGCCCCCAATCTTAGTTATGGGGGTCTGACCAACCATTTTAAAAGGGTCATGATCTACCCAAAGGCTCCTGGCTTCGGCTTTCAATGGAAGACCCGACCCCGAAGCATTGGACACCCCGCTAACCGGTGTTTGGGGGTCTCAAAACCTGGCTGTTTGAGGGCCCTAAATGAATCGAATTGGAGCCTCTGGGTAGGCAAGGTTCCAATTTGATGGACGAAGGGGCTCTCAAGTTTCTTCCCCGAAGGATCGGGGCTTGTTAACTGGAGGAAAACCCAGATTCGAAACATACACTGAAAAAGCGGGTATTTGGAGCCTACAAAGGTAGATGTTGGGCCCACGAAGTATGGGGACTGGTTGTTCTGCATTGAGACTCGGGACCCGGGTAGGACACAGAGACAATTCACCCAAACAGGTTCGCAGAATTGGAGAAAGCCTGGATCGCCAGGTGCGTTTTCGCTTTTGTTCCATGCACTTTGCCCCAAAAGCCGATCGCAACAGTGACTGGAAAAAGCGATCGCAACTTGGCTACCTAGGAGGAAACCCTGCTGAAGTTCGAACATTTCCTTGGGGCCTGGTGGGCCACCCTTACCAAATTGGCTCGGTCCAGGCACCCTGGGATTCAGGTGACACTGTTGAAAACCAAGGGGGTTCATATATTGCACTGTCACCACCATAGTTTACCTGGAGATTGTCATGCAAAGTAGTTCCACCCTGCTTTCCCATAGGGATTACGTCATCAAAAAAAAATAGGGTCCCCTTTTGGTTGCCATTCAATTTTCAGGGGCGCTGACTCTGAACGGGGTTCCCCCGTCAGCATCGGAGAGGTGAGGCATCTTCTCGTCGTATCTAAGGAGGACGATTCATTTCTCTTAAACAAAAAAACAACAAAACGGAAGCGGCAGAGAGGTGGGGTGTGTTATTTTTTCTTTATCTCCAGTATCTTCCCCTTGGCCACCCGTTCCATTTTCTCTCCTCGTATCTCAGGAAGACGTGAGCGAGTACTACACCATCTTCGTGCTCATGTTCCAGGCCTCCATGGGCTTCTCCGTGGTGAAGGCGCGCCTGCGGCCGGTTTCCGGTTTCCGGCGCCTCATGTCATGGTGGTGGGTGGGAAGCATTGTTTCCCATTTAAACAACCAACCAAGGCTTCTAAGACAACAACCAACAATGAGGCTTGTAATCCAACCACTGAACTGCCTAAAATTAAATATTTGTGTTGCTCCCCTTGCAACGTCAAGTCATTTCGCCCGGCCCCGGCGCTTGTCGCCTGGGTGCATCGATTCGTGGACTTTGCGGAGGATGCTCGGTTTCGGACCTTTTGTCCCGGGAAACAAAAAAGACTGATCATAAACAGGGGTTGATTCATATGGGGTCAACATTAATGTTAACCCCGGATTAATAAACCCCTGGTTGATCAATAGGGAGGTGTCCCCTTTTAGTGGGGATTCATCACTTTTGGAGGGAACACCCCCCTAATAATGGGACGGGTTTATTAATCCTGGGGCAACATTACTGGCGTTCCGAAACTCGGAGGAGTGATTGTCACTTCTGGGGGTTTGGTGGCCACTTTGGCGGTAGGAACATGTTCGAGGACTGCTTGTAGCCAATCCACGCGAGTTGGCAGGTGCCCTTTGCGTTTTTTTTTTTTGTGTTAGTGGTTGGTTTTCCCATGGGAATCCGAAATTTGAAGCCCTGGCTTAGGATAAACCGAAAACCACCTCGAAACCACGCGAATGGCCCTTGCTAACCAAAAATGAGGGACGCTTTTTAGGTGTTACCTAACCTCCAAACCACGCGAATGGCCCTTGCAACAAAATAATATCTTGGTTGATTTCCCATTCTGTTCAACCATCAAACACCGGCTGTTTTCACACAGCTTTTAATGATTTGCTAGAAAGAAGGATCCCTGGAAAGAATGGGGAAGCTACCCTTAGCAAAATGAGAGAAGCGTTTTTGACGCTCGCAGGTGATTATGGGTGTCTTTCTGCAGAACACCTTCTCCGTGGCGGCCAACGATGACGTGACACCTGGCGTGAAAGCCGTGGCAAGGGATGCGAAAGTCTCCAAAACAGTTTTCGGTTGAGACTCTGAGATCGTTCTGGGACTCAATTGCTTTATCCAGGTTACGCGAGAGATAGTTCTAGCCATTGAGTAGTAGTGAAGTCAACCAACCAAACTTTCTTTCAGTTCATGGCTTGCCCTCTTAGTTGCTGGGCATGTGGCTTTCCACTTTGAAGTGCAGCCCTTTGGGCTGCAGTTGAATAGGACATATCTCCTCCTCCAAATACCCGGCCTTTTGTTAGTATTTCTTGGAAGACCTGTTTTTGGGGGAAAATATGTTTTCTTTTTCACTAAAGGGTCGACATCATACCCTGAAACAACCAGCTTCCACCTTCTGTAAGTGAGAAGTGACAGCGCCGTGATGGAAGTCTCACTCTACTGGGGACGGGCAACATCCTGCATTTGGGGTGGATGAAACCCGATAAATGCTGAACTGGGTGTGGGTCAAAATTAAGCCACCAGGGGACCGCAGGTTTTAGTCTTTGGTTCCATTTACCAGGGCTCGATTTTGCGTACCTACTGCTTTTGACCCACGGCCAACTAACGCACCTAGCAACTGGTAGAGGGTTTCGTCCATCCACGTCATCAGACCGTTTCGTTGTTTCACAACCTTTGCTTGCTTGATATGATATGACCAAAGGGAGACAGCATGTATGACTTGATGAGAACGTGAGAGAGCCCGGGTTGCCCGCCTCACCCCGGTGTGTTCACCCCACCAGACCAGGAGGCGGCCATTCCCAAGCAAAAGTGCCACGTGGATCACACTAGGTTGGTTAACTAGGTGCTGAGGATCATGCATCTGGGAAACAGTACTGCGGACGGACGAAATCCATTTCGCGCCACCTTTCAGAAACCCTAGAATGATTCGATTCCCCTGGAAACATCCACAAGCAATCATTTCAGTCATGGCTTCTTCGTCCATCCAGAGTATGTGCTTGCACCCTGAGGATCATGATGAACTCCAAAGACCGGGCCCTGCAAACCCACAAGCTCAAGATGCCGCTCGGACTACCGCTCGGGACCCGCGCCTTTTTTTACCCGTGAGCGGTGAAAATGGGGAAGGTCTCGGTTGCCTCCCGTGTATCTTGACAGCCCCAAAGATTTCCGACTCGACGGTTGGGCAAATCCGCCGAATGGTGGTTGTTTTCTTGAAGGGCCCCAAATCGGAATTGGTCGAGCGGGTTCTCCATAGGGTTCCTGCTCATTGGGTCCAGGTCCCGGCATGACCAAATCGGGTGCCTTCCAGGAAGCTCCCAGGTCTCTGGAGCCAAGTGTACGTGACGAGTTTCCATGTTCCCAGAGGCTCCCGGCATTTTTTTGGGCCCTCAAACAACCTGGTTTTGAGACCCCCAACCACCGAAGTGGGGTGTCGAATGGGTCTTCCATTGAAAGCCCCAGGAGCCTCTGGGTTAGCAGCACGTTGGTGCATTTTGCCAACGGATACTAGGACTGTAAAACTTTTTTGCCAACTAAGGCGGGTGTTCCGTATTACACCACATAAAAGTTTTAAAACAAACTTTAAGCAGGGCTTCGCAGATTTCGCAAAAAAAGAGAGCAGAGGGTACTGGCACTCTCCCGGGTCGCACCCAGGCTCAGAAGGGACCCTCCAGAGGGTCGAACAAGACCTCCGTTGGTGTTCGGACCGCAAGGCACATGTTGAGGGCCCGCGTTTCTTACAACAAAAGGGTGCAACGATTCAAATCTGCTTTTCCCCCGAGCCCCAAATCGTAGGTTGGTTGGTTTTCCTTTAAACCAGCAATCAGGTAACCCTTACCTGTTGGTTTGCATGGTTTGGGGATTTGAACCATGATGCCTGAGGGTTGGGACACAAGGGTTGAGCTGAAAATTCCGGGTACCTGAACCCTCAAACTACCCATACAAAGGAGATTTCACCAACCATATGTTTGAGAAACCCTTGCTCAAATGTCCAGCAGAACGCTTCAAGAGCCCCTTCGAGCAGAAGGCTCCTTCCGAACCTTTCCTGCGGGGGTCAGGTTGCCTTGTGCCTGGACCCTCAACATACCCTTTGTTGCACTTTGTTTGGATGTTAGGACTTTAACTTTTTGCCCACTGATGGGTTCTCCATTAAACCACTAAAAGTTAAACTCTTAGCAGGGGAGCAGAAAGCAACCGACTTTACCCGTAAACACAGTGAGTTTCCTAGCTTTTTTTAAGGGTAGCTTTTTGGGGGTCCGATCGGTGGTTGCACTTTGGTTCGACCCTACAAAGCCTTGTTTTTCCCAGCCGCTTCAATTGCCTGTATGGGTAGCCCTGTGGGGCTTCCAGCCCTTACGAAAAGAAGTACCTGGTTGATCAACGTTCCTGGACCCTCGAAAAAAGCCCAGACAAAAAGTTGTTCACCGCATAAGATTGGGGCAATCTCAACCATGTCGGGCCTTGACAACCCGGCTTCTCCTTATGCCTCCAAGCAGTGCCCCCTTGGCTCTACACCTACCGAAACCAACCGGCCGAAACACCCCACCCTCTAGGAGGTGAGTCCTGGCCCATCCTTTTCAGCCATGTTTCTTTCCAAAAACCGGTCGCCATTTCCCCAGAATGTTTGTTGGTTTTCTTGAAAAAGAATCCGATCCCTGGAATGGAAATGCAAGTTCCCCCTAGACTAGTGGTTGACCACCCCTCCCCCAAGTGCCCAAGTGGTAGGGCAAGTGTCGCGGGCCTTTGGCGGCTTGGAAAAATCGGTTTGAAGCGTTCCAGCCGTCGACGCCACCAGCCGAAACCCGGAAACCCGTGTCACCCGTCCACCCCGTCCACCCGTCAACCGAGGCGTCTGCTCTTCGAGGCGGCGGACACCAACGGGGACGGGCGCCTGGACCGCGGGGAGTTCGGCGAGATCCTGGCGGACCCCTTGGCGCCTCGGTCCCGGGTGACCCCTCCTTGACCGCTATTGGGTTGGATCTTTAGACTTTAACTTTTCGGGAAATCAAGGTGTCTTCCACTAAACCCCCAAAAAGTGAAGAACTTTTTGCAGGGGGGTCGTTGCAGCAACCAAGCCTCCAAATTTCACACCCCGGAGCCTCCGGTGGAGACCGCGACTTGCCGGGGGCTCGAAAGAAAACCACCAGCTTTGAGGATTTGCCCCAAAAAAGCCATCGAGACCCTGAGGCTGAGGGGTGTGTTTTTTCTTGTTTGTCGAAACGAAGCGGGCGAGGGATGGCGAGGGAGGGCGAACCCCCGAAAAAAAGAAGAAACAAAAGAACAATTGAGAGGGTGATGCATATACATGTGCACCCCCCAAAAAAAACCCGCACCTGCTACTTATGTAAGGGAAGTCAGGTCATTTTAGATGGATGCTACCAGGAGTGGGCAAGTGATTCATTAAGAAGTAGAGCCGGCGAAGCCGGTGGGCGGAAGCTTCAAAAATATAAGAACTATAGTTATCTTTATCTTTCTTGTATTGACTCGTTTTCTCTTCGCCTTGCTTTCCTACATTCCTTTCTTATGTGCATTTGTTTCTGCATGTCTTCCGTTATTTCGGTATTTATTTTTTTCTGTCTGTCTTTCTTTATGTCTTCATTTCTCTCGTTATTTGTTATTGCTTGTCATTTGCATAATGTCTCTATCTATCTATCTACCTACCTATATATATATATCTATCGATCTATCTATATGTTTGTCTATCTATCTACCTACCTACCTATCTATCTAATCTAATCTATCTAATTAACTAGCTATCTATCTACCTACCTATCTATATGTCTTGCTCTACCTATGTATCTTTATTTCTACCTATCTATATTCCTACCTATCTATCCACCTACCTATCTATCTCTCTCCATCTATCTATCTGTTTATCATGTGTATACATATATATATATACATATATATCTGTCTGTCCATCTATCTATCTATCTATCTATCTATCTATCTATCAATCAAATCTATCTATCTATCTATCTATCTAATCTATCTATCTATCTATCTATCTATCTATCTATCTATCTATTTATCTATCTATCTATCTATCTATCTATCTATCTATCTATCTATCGAATCTATCTAATATATCTATCTATCTATCTATCTATCTATCTATCTATCTATCTATCTAATCTAATCTAATCTAATCTAATCTAATCTAATCTAATCTAATCTAATCTAATCTAATCTAATCTAATCTAATCTAATCTAATCTAATCTAATCTATCTATCTATCTATCTATCTATCTATCTATCTATCTATCTATCTATCTATCTATCTATCTATCTATCTATCTATCTATCTATCTATCTATCTATCTATCTATCTATCTATCTATCTATCTATCTATCTATCTAATCTATCTAATCTATTAATCTATCTATCTATCTATCTATCTATCTATCTATCTATCTATCTATCGATCTATCTATCTATCTATCTATCTATCTATCTATCTATCTATCCATCCATCTATCTATCTATATATCTATCTATCTATCTATCTATCTATCTATCTATCTATCTATCTATCCATCATCTGCTACTCATCTTCCATCCCTCATCTCGACTCATCTGCGAATCCCCTTCGCTTGTCAGCTTGCAAACCTTGGCCAATACCAAAACATTTGCTCACATCTAATATGCATTGACCAGTGCCACACTCTTCCAAAACAACTAATTTCCCTGAATGAAATCTGTTCTGCACAAAACCTGCTAGGACAAATGCAACACACTGGTATTTACAGTGTTTTTCAATATCCAAGGGTTTTGTTGAAGTCATTTATTGAAGAATTCTTTCTCCAATGTCCATATGATGAACTATCAACTGTATTTGTCGCGCACAAGTTCAAAAGGAGAATAAGGTGCGCACACACACACAAACAGGAATGGCTGAAAGCAGATGCTTCAAAGCACTTTAAAGTACTTTTGGATTCAATATTCAAGATTCCCAGGACTCTAGATCTGGAATCTTTAATGCAGCCTGGGCCCCCCAAACCGCTTTAAAGCACTTTTGGATTCAAGATTCAAGATTCTAGGGACTCGCTTTAAAGCATTTTGGGGGGCCCAGACTGGATTCAAGATTCCAGATCTAGAGTCCTGCAAATCTTGAATCGTGAATCCAAAAGTGCTTTAAAGCGCTTTAGAGCATTTTGGGGAATCAAAGTTGGAGTGCCTGAAAAAAGTCAATATTGAAGGGCCTGAAAAGGGGGTGGAAATCACACAAAAGTACTGCAAATACCGTCAAACTCTCTTGGCGCTTGGTTGTTTTTTGTCTTGGGGGGGGGGGGGTACCATATATATATATATATATACACATATCCAAATGCACGGGAGCGTTGTTCTGTTTGTGTGCGTGTGTGTGTTTTTTTGTTGTAGATTAGATTTAGAAGAACAGACGTACCCTGAAGGATGTCGTGGGTATTGTGGAAACCGTCTCACTTGGAAACATGGAACTGAAGCCAAAGCGCATGGTGTGTGAATGAACAGCCGGCCCTGGTTGGAAGGTGACTCAGTTGTCTTTTGTTTGGGGACAACCTCTTTTGGTTGGAAAGGGACACCAAGAGAACGAAACAATTTGGTGGGGTCCCCTAAAAACAACGCACTCTGTTGGTGTTCTCCTGTTGGTAACCATTTGTAGTAAAGGTCCCCAAAGGAATTCACCTTTAAATCAAGGTCCGTTGGGCAAGTAAGCTGACGCGGGTTAAGATTTCTCCCAAGACTTACCCTGCCCTGCAATCTACTTGGGGGACTCGACCAGAGTTGTTGGCGACATAACTTCTTCATGCTCCACTGGTGAATGTGCCCCTTGCATTGTACAGGGTGGTCATCCAAGTATGGTGCCCTGATTGAAGAGGATGAGCATCACATGTCAACCCTGACCAACAAAAGGAATGTCTATTTACCCTGGAAAGTCAGTTTTTCCAACACAAACAACTACCCAAAGCGACAAAAACAAAGCCCACTTGAAAATGCACAACCTGCCAGGAGGGACCGTTCTGAAATCAGGAAGGGGATTTGCAGCTGACGGGACCCTCAAATTGTCCTTGCCTTGAATCTGGGTGATTGCCAACTAACATTGTTGCGGGAGAAAACTACCTTTTTGTTGTGTGGGCTCTTGAGGGCCCAGGTAACGGTTCAACCCCCATGAAAAGAATGGCCAACGGGGACCCAATTTGGATGGTGACAATCCTGAAAGGGAAACCTTTTGGTGGTGAAATATGAACCCAACCTCACAGAAAGAGGTGGCTGAACGATGGCGATCCATTGTCCGGGGGAGAACGAAGGCAAGACACGCTTCACCCAACTCGAACTGGACAAAACAAACAAAGGGAGAGATGCATCTCCAAGTCCCCCCCTTCGCATGGTTGTTGTTGGGAAGCATTTTACGTTTTTGTTATTGTCGTTTAGCGGGGCATCCAACCACTGCTAAAATTTCAACGGTTGCTCCCCTTCCGTTACGTCAACAAGCGGCGGCCCGTGGCCTGTGGCCTGTCTGTGGGGTCGTCAGGTGGCGCGGTGGCTCAGCGCCATGAGCTTCGACACCTCGGTGATGAGCTGCGACGCGCCTCGCTCGCCTCGCCTCGAGCGCGACGTCGGGGTTTGAGACGTCGGAGACGTCGGGCGGCGCAGGGGAAGGACCAGTAAAACGACTCGTTTGATTCAGAAAGTTGGGAAATACGGCAACCAGAACTTCAGGGCAGCCCGAGGTGGTTTGGAGCTTTTCGAGGGTCCAGGAAGTTGTTTGCTCGGGTCCCGCTTGGGTGTTCGGGGATTTTAGGTCTGGGGTACTGTTCATGATTGTCCTCATCCAAATTGGGTCCTTGCCATTCTTTCCGTGGGGGTTGAAGCCTAGGCCGATCGGATATAACCCATGTGGCTGTGGGTGCACCACTCATTTTAGTCGATTTTAGTTGGGATTGGGATGTTCACTGGGAAAACGATTTGGATTTTGACCCATGGCCCATGTGTTGCAGACTGAAGTGCAGACTAATTTTGACCCAGAGACTGCATTGGACACCCCGCGACTGTGCCGGGAGCCTGTGGGACTAGGTCCCCCAGCAATTGGCGCCCTTGCTCACACCCCTTTTTTGGGGGATTTTCCCTTTTTGGGTTGGGAGGGTTCCCCAAAAGTAGACTACAGAAAAAAGTGGGTACCCTAAACCCCAATCTCTCAAATCTGGAGGGACTAGGGGAGGTTGCTCGCCGCTTACGAACTTGGCGAATCAAACCTCCAAGTGGGGGTTGGGGTTCTGCGACCCGGGAGTACCACACCCCGAGTTGCAGAAACGGGGTCTCAAAACAAGTGGTGTTGGATCCCAAACTCAATCCATCGGGTTTCGTTTGGGGAAATCCAGCGATAGTAAAGGGCTGACAAATCTTACCAACTGAACAAAGGGTCGGTTTTTATTTGGAGCTTACGAGGGTAAAAGGAGCGTTTTTGTTTCTTTTCTGGCCCAGGAGATCTTCAACCTCTTAAAGGAGGATGACAAGATGGATCTCAGCGCAGAGGAGACATTCCGCGCATTTTTCACGGTTTGTCTTGCTGGTGCTAGGGAGTGGCTGAGTCCCGGTGTTTTGGGAATGACCCGGTTTTAGGGCATTCCCGAAGAACGGAACACAACAAATTCGAGGATGCGTTGTTTTGTTTCTTTTCGGGGTCATTCCATGTTTCCATTTCTCATTCCCTGCCAACCAGCAAGTTGTTTTGGCTTGCTCGAGGTCCAAGATGTTGAGGTCCTGTTGGGCTGTGTGGGGAGCTCTGCCGAGATTCCCATGGCTAGGGGCCTAGGGAAATTCAAGCAGCTGCAGTTTTTTTCTGACCCGAATCTTAATTTTTGGGTAATGACCAACCATTTTTAAAGGGTCAGACGGAGACTCCAGGTAGGTTGCTACATGCTTGCTGGTGCGGTAGGCAGGGAAATGACGTGGTCATGCCCTACCTACTGAGCACCAGCAAGGAAACAACGCAGAAAACATCGGCATCCGGTTTTCCTCCGTAGGAGATAACGCGCCTGAGCTGTCAATCAAATCCAACCTACAAATGGGTGAGTTGCAACCCAGAATCTCATGGAATGGGTGAGATCCTTTTATTTATTTTTCTGGGTAGTGACCCTCAAGAATCCAGCTTAAGTCTGGGTGCTTGCCCACCAAACTTTTGGTGAGAGAACCCCCTACTCAGCACCAAAAACACCTGAACCCTCCAAAACCAAACTCAATCATGGGTGAGTTGCAACCCAAGCTTCTGCCTACATAGCCAAGTTGCGATCGTTTTTTTCAGTCACTGTTGCTGGGTTTGGGGGTAACGTGCATTGAAAAAACGATCGCAACTGGCGATCCAGGTTGTTCCCCAATGCAAGGGGAATCCACCACAACCCACGGTGGAATTTCCAGGGTTTCCAACTGGTCCGCTTGCAATGTCAGGGGCATCCACGTGGTGGTTTTCGTTCGGTTCCGATTCGATGGGATCGTCGCATCGTCCGAGTTGCTCTCCCGGTGCAGTCTCAGGAGATGATCAACGGCGTGGCGAAGCTCTCGGGCCCCGCGAGTTCCTTGAACATGACACAGCTGCTCTACGAGCAAGAGGCGCGCTGGCGCTTTTGGTGCTAGCGCCGCCGCTGGCGCGCTGGCACGTGTCATGTGGTGGAAGGGGGGGAGTGAACCAAGAAGCCAAGTTGGGTTCAGCTTGGGCCTTTGTAGGTGGTTGGTTGTTGTCATGTGTCATGCGGGGTGAACCAACCAGCCAATTTTGGTTCAACTTAGGCCTTTAGGTGCGGCGCTTGTCATGTGTCATGGGTGAACCAAGCGGCCCATTTGGTTCAACAGGTGTTTTTATAGGTACCTGGAGTCTCCTGAGCGTTTTGAAAAAGGGGTCATGGAGTCATACCTCAATTTGGGGGAATAAATGACCAAGCAGTTTTTAAGGGTCATGGAGACTCTAGGTAGGTTGCTACATGCTTTTTGGTGAGAAAGGCAGGGAAATGAGAAATGGGATGATTTCCAAAAGCACCATCCAACTGGTGGTTTCAGCCCTACGTAGGTTTTTGGCGGGTGACAGGTGATCGGGTGTCCGTTTTTTTATTCACGTGAGTTGAGCTGTTGGCAGGGGATCCAGACGGGACAGATGTGTGGGGCTTTGGAAGGTAGGACTCAGACCTCAGCAATTGGAAGAGTTCTTAGAGTTCGGCATGTTTCGGTGGGTTTTAAAGCAAAACCAAAAGGACATCCACCATTTTGCGGAAGAGTTCTTGGGTTGGGTTACGCGAATCTGATTTTCTAGCAACATGTGTGTGTGTGTGTGTGTTTGTTGTGTTTTTTGAAGGAGTCCGAACCGTTTGTTGGTGTGCCAGGGCTTCCCTTGAAGTTCCGTTGCCATGGCTTGGTTCGGAGCCCATGAAGGAGTTCGAAGCCTTGGAAGGAAAGGGGTCTCTTGTGTTGGTGATGGTTTTGAGCCCATTTGGATTGTCTTTTTTTGGAGTGAGGCACGATTTGGCGGGTTTTAAAGCAAAACCAAAAAGCACATCCACCATTTGTTGGCGATGATACCCGGAGAAAAAAAAAAAAAAAAACAAGACATAAGCCCACAAAAATGTACTTTTTGAAGGCCCAGGAAGACTTAGGTTTGTTGACTGCGTGCCAAAGAGGTGGTGTCTCTCTGTGTGCCTCGAGGTTTAGGCCAAGGGTTTGATCTGGTGGGGCCGGGCTTCGGAACAAGAGTGCTAGCAAGAGGCGCCTTCCTAGATCGCCCAGTCGTTGGTTTTTGTCAGTCAGTGTTGCGATCGGCTTTTGGGGTGTTGAGTGCATGAAAATAAACCGATCGCAACTGGCGATTCAGGTTTTTGCCTAGTCGAACTAAGCAGGAGATGATTTGTTTCGTTGCTCGATGTTGCTCGGTTCCTTCACCTCGCGCCGAGCGGCTCTGAACCTTGTTTGCAAACACGAGTTGCGGGTTGGGAGGCCCGAGGTACCAGCAACCAGTTGCAACTTGTTACCCCCTGCTCCAGAAATACCCGTTTTGTTTGGTTTATATTCTTTTCGTGAAACCAGGCATCCAGGGTAAATACCGCGATGGATGCTTGTTGTGCAGGGGTGTTGGCCGCTTCATCTTTTGGGGGGCCCAACATCTCGCATCCTGAGTTTGTTGGAGTTTAACCTTTTGGGAGGACCAGTGGTGACTTTCTCTTGGACGACCCACTTCTCGGATGTGAGAATTGAAGTTTAGACCGTGGCATCCTATACTTCCTGACTTGGGCTTTATACTTTGTGGGTCTGGGCCGTCGTGATAAATACTCAGATTTGGCCAGACTTGTGTTGGCCAATCAAGTGAGTTCACCATTTCCCGGTGTCCTTTGCGTCATGTGTTTTTTTTGTTTGCCAGTTTCATGGCGACCGAGAAGCTGGACGTTTTGTTTGGCCCAATCCGTTCCCTGAACCCAAAAGAACTACCAATAAAAATGGGAATCCACTATTTTGCAGCAAGAACCAAACCCAGTGCTCCCAGTTACTATTGTAGTAGGTAACCAGGAGAAACCATGGTGAAGCATAGGGGTAAGGATCCCGAAGGGTTAGTAGTAATTGGACGGACTGGGCATGTAAGCGGGCAGGGTTTGGCTTTTAACACGCGCATGTTGACGCGTCTGTGTCCGCGCCCGTCCAGAGTGGGACTGCCAAAGGGCGGTCAAAGGAAAGAAAGGAACATACCTGGCCTCGGGACACGAAGCAGAGTCCTAACTAGGTTGCCAGCTAGGTGCCAAGTTTTTTGCCTTTTTTTTGGGGGGGGAGGGTTCCCCTATTAAAAGGACAGCCTTATTCTAAGCTCTCTAGTGGAGGACCTAGCCTAAAGAAGATGTGAAATCCAGAGTTAGGCCAAGAAAGAGGCTGGAACAAACATGGCAATGTGCCCTGTGCGACCGAGCCCTGGAAAGCCATCACGCGTTCCCCTCACCATGAGAGGATTCAGGGGGAGCAAGTTGATTGGCACCAGCCGGGGGGGATTATTCTGGTTCGAACATTATAGTGCTTGCTTGGAGGGCGAGGATACTCAGTGGCGAGTCACATGTTTACAACCCACGGATTGACTTACAACCATGGCGAACTGGCATGTGATTTGCCCATGCTTAGTACCTGACACAACGGATTTCCCTTTCAAGTGCAAACGAGTTGGTTGACCCTTGTTGCTGAGGTCGAAACAGCGACGCAAGGTTTTCTGAGTACCTCAAACTAGATGCGAACAACTCGTCACTCAAGTTTGGCGCGACCTTTTTTGAGACAGAAGATCGATGTCTCTCACCTTTGGACGTCTCAGAAACGCCCCAACCCCGCAGACCTTCCACCCAACTCGGTCCGCCAATTCCGCGGTCAGCCGAAGCCGCGCCGAAGCCATGGGCGTGCGATCCCAATGGCGAGCGACTGGTCGGAGAGCTTTCTAGAGGCCCAGACGGGAGACGGGGTCTTAGGTGTCCTTTTTGGTGGTTTTGCTCTTGAAAAATAGGTTGGGCGATTCCAATCGGTTTACCTGGTGGTTTTTTCTCATCTACCAGGGATATCCATCTATTTCCAACCTACAAGGACATTTATGGGTCTTAGAGTTGTCTCCCCGTGAGGTTGACCCCACCCTAACCATCATTGGGCCCGATCCCATTGAAGGGGTCGAACCGGGTCTCCATTGGTTTTGGACCTCGAAAAAGGCCGTTTTGAGATGGCCCGCCGCTGCTTAGGGCAGATTCATAAACGCCTGATGAATAGGCTAGGTCCCCCAGGACTGAGTGCCCTTTTACAAACTGTTTTTTTGGGGAGGGTTCCCCTACTAAAATAGACCACAGAAGAAAGTTGGTACCCTGATTCTAACCTCTCTACACGAGGACCCAGTTGATAGGGTTTCCCCTTGAAAGTGGGGATGCATCACTTTTGAAGGGAACACCCCTCAACATCAACACAAGACCCGGTTTGCTTCAGGATGCCCTTTCCCAGGGGAAAGCCATAAAAAACCGGCCAGGGACTTGGAGTAGGAGATCAAGTTGGTGGTTTTGGTCGTTTTCAGGTTGGGGGTCTCCTTTCCCGCTTTGTTTTAGGGTGTTTGTTGGAAAACCAGATTGATCATACCTTGAAAAAGGTTGGTATCGGGTATACGGTACTCTTTAAATGAGAATCACACAGAATTTTAGGCAAGACGCCTCCATAATTAAACAGGCATTTATATATACTGGGCAGACGAAATATGGAACCACAAATAGGGTTCCGGACATTCAGTTGCAGGAGGTTCCGGCGCTGTTGGGTCCCGATACCACCTGCGGCGATATGTTTGGAGAGAGTTGCCCCAGTTTAAATCAAATGCCTATGGCCACTGGGGTCTGGGGAAGCTTCGCAGTGTTTGGCATATGGCTGTGGCTCAAAAAAATGTACCCAAAATGGCCCCTAGGTAAGTGGAGGTAAATTGGAAACAAGACCAACACCTGCATAACCCAAGCTCTTAAATTTTGAGCCACACCCATAGTTGTGCTTGAGCTGTTCGATTCAGTTCAAGTTGTTGTGGTTGTGCTTTGGTGTTTGTCAGTATCTGTGGCTTTGAGTTGTTGTTGGTTTGGTTCTGTTCTTGTGTAGTGGGGGCGCAAGGAACACGATGTGTTGTACCAACATACCAAGCAGAAAGACCGAACCATTACTGTTGCAGGTAACTCTGAGTTGGTGGTTTGGATTGCTGGTTTGAGGGTTTCAACCCCTGCCTGTTGAACACCAAGTCAAAGCACCGTCTTCAAGGTGTTCAAGGTGTGTTTGTGTTATTTTTCTCGGAAAACGGGTTTGACAGACAAATGGGGGAACCCCCAAAACCATCAACCCTCAAAAGAAACCACCCTCCTTCAAAACACGTTTATGTCTTGCTCAGAAAAGAAAAACAACAAAAAAGTGACACATGTCTTAGGGTAGGCAAAGTGCGGAACATGCTCAGAAAGATAAACAATAACAGTGACACATGTTTCAGGGTGGGCAAAGTGCGGCACATGCTCAGAATATATGTAACTGGACCCTGAAATCACCCTAAACAAATGGACTTCACACAGCAACACATGTTTTTCAGTGTCAAATCGGGGGTCCGATCGGTGGCCTCGAGGTACACCTTCCAATCATCTTTGAATCCACGAGGTTTCCTTTCCGAACAGCCCAGCGAGACCAACGGTGTGGGTTCTTGACCCAAGAAATCAAAAACGTGTGCCTAGATGGCCAAGTTGCTGTGTTGTTCCATGCACTCAAACCCCAAAAAACAGCAACAGTGACTGAAAGAAGCGATCGCAGCTTGGCTATCTAGGTGGGTTGTTGACCCAGGCCAAGAAATCTGGCCCAACGCGAATTCACCTCACCTTTCGCTGTGCTCCGTATGGCCCAGTTTTCGTTGCCCTCAAAAACTGGGTCCAAACTGGGCTGATCCGAGATCTGCAGGCTCCGGAGCAGCGCTGGGATTCTTTGAGAAGCTGCTGCTGGAAGCTGCGGCAATGGCGCCCGGACAGTTTTTGAAGCGTTTCCCGGATCCCACCCCTTTCCTCCATTCATGTGTTTTATGGGGGAGGGACCTCCTCAAAAGTCGGAGGTAGACCTGTTCAATCCCCACCCAACTTGGCTGGTCACCCCTTGGTGCCCGCAATTAAGAAGTCATACCGATTCATACCTATTTCGAATTTGGGATTTCCCTGTTGGTTTGACAGTTGGAATATCTTTATCTTTTTTGGGCGCTAAGATGGATGCGGTTTCTCGTTTTGGGGGTAAGGAAATCCCTTTGAAGGCAAACACACAAACACATGCAACGATTTACCCACCTTTCATTTCGTCATTTTTGGGAAGGGGCGTCCTTTCAAAGCAAACACGTTTCCACACGTTCCCTCCAAATGTGCCCGATGTTCTGTCCAATGCAAGAATCCGATCTTTCGCGGTAGTGTGAAGTGCGGGTAGGTTTTGCTAGGAAAATGGGCCGGGCAGCCAGAACAAGTTGGGCAGGTGCAGCAGTTGCCCGTATCCTTCACGGGCCCTCCAAAACAAAGGCGCCCGGGATTTTGCCGACCTAGCTACCCGTCAATAAAAAAGGGAATTCACCCATATGTTTGGAGGCTATGACCATGTTTAACGCATATTCCAACTTTGCCAACCTAGCTACCCGTCAACCACAAAGGGAATTCGCCCATATTTTGGGGGGGGGGGCTAACGTTTTTGGCATTTGGGGTCCAGGAATTCACGTTAACGGTCCCCCCCGAAGGGTCCAGATACGTGCCAAAAAAAGAACTAGAAATGCCTCTTTCGAAGACTCAATTGTCTGGGGTGTGTGTTTTTGGTACGCGTGGCCCATGTTAAGACTTGAGGCTATCCGACTGATTGGTACGTACGCTTTCTCTTATTTCCAATCGACCCTCATAAGAATATCCGCATGTATGGGCCATCAAGTGTTGATTGGTTGGGTGGACCCAGAGTCAACGAATACTTGTTCTGTTCCTTTGTGGGAGGGCAGTCTCCAACAGAAGTCTGGTAGACAAGTTTAGCGTTCCCAAATCTGGTCTGGCCTTGACGAAAATACCTGCACAACAGAAAAGGCGCTTTGGCTCTAAGGTGAAAGCAGGTGCCCGCTACTCCACATACCTATGTTTTTGTCAGGGTACTTTCGGGAAGACCCATCGGTTTTCTAACACAAATAAGCTCCCACCAATTAACGTGGAACCTGAGAGGGCTGTAAAAGGACAATGGTCTTACAGTCCCCCCCTGTCAGGTTTCATGCGAAGTGGTTGGAGGGTACCTCCTATTTTAATACAGACCTGAGAAGTCGTGGGTTCATTGTGTCTAGGGGTCCCCCAACTGGATCAACAAGCATAGAGTCTCGAAGTGAACAGGATGTCAGCATCACTTCACCTGCAAATTCCGTGGTCCTGGACCCCTCAAAATTCCAACTTTAAATTGGGGGGGGGGAGTCGCCGCCCAAACTCATGATCAGTGACTTCAACCTGTCTTATGGGTACCTGGACCCTCAAAATACCCCCAGACGTTTGCCCCAAACTGGGGTTGAATTCCCATTTCTTCAGGGCAGTGTTCCACCACTCCAACTTCAACATGCCTTGGCTGAGCCTGCCCGCCAACGAAAAAACCAGCTCTCTTCAACATGGCTGGGCTGAGCCTGCCCGCCGAGGAAAAAGACAAAAAGACAGGCTCTCTGCTTTGCCTTCCCCTTCCCCTTCCTGGCCCCTCCATTTCGGGGGGCCCCGCGACCGCTGGCCCGGGACCTCGGATTCTTCAGGTGGATCGATGCCACGGACGCGGTGATCCTGAACAGCCCCTGGCTGCAGCGCCGCACGGGGAACCTGCTGCGCTTCATCTGGCTCATCTTCCAGGTGATCTGGTGGACCGCGCCTCGAAAAAATACGTTGTTCCTTGGTGGTTCTTCTTTAAAAAAAGAAAACGGGGGTTTTGTTTTCCCCCTTTTTTTGGTTAACCCCATGTTGTTTTCTCAACCCACCGAATGTTTAGTTTTAAATAGGGGGGGGGGGGGTGTTTTGGGCCGGATTGATGGAGTCCCTCGTTGTTGGGGCTGACTTTAAGGGAAGGGCAATCTCCAGTGGCTGAACTCTGATCTGGTGGACCGCACCTCGGAATATTCCTGGGTGGTTTAGGTGTTTGGTTGGTAAAGGGTGGTTGGGTTTCCATTGAGTTTGCATTTAAAGTTGTTGACCCCGTAACATTTTCTCAACCAGACTGTGTGTGTGTGGGTGACATATAAATCTACAATATATATATATATATATATATACATATATCGATGTTTGTGTTTCAGTCCCCAGACCCCCCCCAAAGGGAACCTCAAAAGGGACCAAGTGTGGGAATCAACCGTTTTGGAATCATTGTTCCCTCTGACGAGCATCAAAAAGGGGCCCTCATCCAAAAGATTCTTGGGTCCAGTAATTACTTTTTTGAGCATTTGCACCCAAAAAGACTTCGGCTGCTGGGGCAACCCGCAATTCAACCCACCCCAAGGGCCCAAGGGGTCCAGGACCTTGGAATGCAGAACTGCGGGGACTCGGTCCGGCACATCCCGATCTTCGCTTGAGATTCGCGTGTGTGTGCAGCTGTGGGTCTGGGACCCCAAGGTGGGTGTGGGTGCGGGGTGTGGGGTAGGTGAGGCAAAAACTTATTGACATAGGTGTCCTGTTTGGTTGTTTTGCTAGAAAATAGATGGCCCTGGTTTACCTGGTGGTTTAATCATCTACCAGGGCCATCTAAATCCCTTAAAAAGACTCCTATGCCCATTTATCCGGCCCTTGCGCACTTTTCGCATCAGATTCACCTACGAGAGTACTGGAACAAGCGCCGCAACTATGGCCCGCTGCTGGCGACTTTGGCAGATCTCCGAAGCTTCGTTCGAGTGTCCGGTTTTTGTGGAGCCCGATCCATGGTTGTTGTTGGGAAACATTTTATTTGTTGCTTATTGTCGTTTAGTGGTGGAAATCCCCACTTAGCTGCTAAAAGTCTAATTAAAACTTCAACCAAGTCAAGTGGTTAAATGGTTAATCCTTGGAAGGGATTTAACATCCTTGGTTGACTGGTTAACCGCGATCCCTTCCAACGTCAACCAAGGATCGCTCACCTCAAAACCTGGTTGTGCAATACGGCGTCCACAAATATGTCCGGTGTTTTGTGCAGGTTTTGGAGAATACCTGTTTCTCTAGGGCAAATACCGGTCGTTTTTTTTTGCCAATGTACTGGAAGTGAGCAGGGGCAACACATTGATTCTCCCTTTCGCCCCGAGCCTAGTCCCGAGCCAAGTCGTGCCCGAAGGGAAGAAAACCCCCAAAATCTTCGATCAGCGTCAACATTCCTTGACCCTCAAACTACCCCCTCCAGAGTTGGACTTCGCCAACCTATCATTTTGAGGTAATCTCCTGCGTGTAAGGGTATGTCCAGAGTTCAGCTCAATGTTTTGTTTGTTTGTTTTCAAACTGTTGATTTCATCATTTTATCCTGAAGCACTGCATTAATAGGAGAAGGGGGTCCAACTCCGCAAAGAAAAGCGACCCCACCCCACCCCCCCACCCCCCACCCCAAATGTTGCTGGTTTGGAATGGCGGTTCTAGTGCTGATTTCAATTGAAGCCCCGGTTGTTGTAGGGGGTAAGTGGGAAACCCCTCCTGAACCAAACCACAAATCGAAGCTGATTGCTTGGTTCTCTGAGTCAACGTTTGGGACCAGCGGTGACGTCTTTGTCCTCAATGAACAAAGAACAGATTGAAGTCCGAGTTGAATCTAGGTCCCCCAGTAGTGCCCTTTTACCGTTTCTTTTTTGGTTGGGAGAGTTCCACTACTAAAATTTGGACTACGGAAAAAATAGAGTACCCTTATTCTAGCCTCTCTACTGGAGGACCTAGGAATGGTGACCGCTAACCCAAGTTCTGCTCATTAAGTGGAAGGCCCTGAGCTCGAAACAGTGTGCAGAGGTCGCAAAGAAGAAAAAGGGGTCTTGCGGAATTGGTGGGGCCCTTATGGGGTCTGCGTCGGAGGGGTCAGGACCCTTAGGGCCTTTTGATTCATTTTTCGACAAGTTAGCGGAGATGGTGATACCCAGAGAACACAAGGGTTATCGCTGCCAAGTTATCACTCCAGCAACCTGGACTAGAGGGCACTTGGGGGTGTTGTTTTATCGGAGAACCCTAGTTTCTTGGTGGCTCCTGGCCATGCCCTTAGTAGTGTGTAGTGGTAGTTTCCATGTAACCCACTAAAAGTTAAACTTTTAGCGGGGGATCTGAGGGCAGCCCAGGTTTGGTTGGTGAAAGGAAGACCAAAAAGACAACCACCATCTTCGGGGTAGTCCTACAAAGCAGAGGCACCCACTTGGGTCTGAATCACCTCAATCAAGCTGAGATACTGTCTCACTTCCTGAGTTTTGTTTTGGACTTTATATACTTTTTGGGTCTGGACCATTTTAGTGGTAAGCAAAAGGTTGGGCGACTTTTTTCGGGCCATCCACTCAAAAAGTGAGCAGTTGGCGACTCGATCATCGTTTCGTCGGATCCTGAGGTGATGCTGGTGGCGATCACCCTCGGCGTATTGCCCAGCTTGTGCCGAGGATCGCATCCGGATTCGGATTCAGATTCGGGATGCTTGATATGTTCCCCACCTGCCCGGAATGAAACGCCAAGTCTTTCTGGTTCATCAAAGAGCTGTTCTTTTTTCCCGTCAAGCGCATTTGTTTGTCACATCGGATCTGGTCGGGGAAAACCGCCAGACTTGGTCTTTCTCTGCAGGCAGTGATTCCAGTTCCCATTCGGAACCAAGGGCGCCCTGAGAGCTAAAAGGACCATGGGAGTCAAGGCGTTCTGTGGAACGCTTCCCGGGATCCACTGGATTCGACGACACCCCTTAAAGGCGATGGGGTGGAGTAGCGCACTGAGACTCTGACAAGAGGGCGCCCTTTGACCCTTTTTTGGGGGAGGGTTAGGACCCTTCTTACTCTCTTGCTCTGACAGTATCAAGACCTCGCCGGACCAACGGGGTGGATTGATTCCCAGGCATCACTGCCTGGACCTTCCATTGATACCTTTTTTTTGCTCGCTTTTTTTTCTGCTCGAACACACAGTTTGTGCCCGAGTCTTCAATTTCTGCCCGAGCAATGAAAAAGTGCCCGAGGTTTATATGTTCAAACGAGCACTTTTTCAAATTTGCGCTCGTTTGCGGGTTTTTGCGCTCGTTCTGCGGGCCGTTGCGGGCGTTTTTGCACACCATTTCTGCTCGAGTAGGTCATGTTAGGACCTGACAGCCCGCATGCCTCCAAAACCTGCTCGAGGTCCAAAAAAGAGGACAAGCCAAGAAAACAAGGTACGAATTGCAAAAACCAGCCGATTGACAGGGGAGGCAGAAATTTCAGGTACGTTTGAAGGTCCAGGTGGGATTCCAGCAATCCCAGCGAAGCCTCCAACTCCCTCAAGTGACGCCCATTTTGGGTGAGGAAGGGGACGAAGGATGAGCGAAACGTCCCCTTGAGCTCTGTGGGGGCCTTCCGGAGCTTGCTGTTCGTCTGAGGGAATGTGCCATGCTGAACCACAGTTCGTTATATGGTTGTTGTTGGGAAGCGCTTCTTACATTTTGATCTTATTGTGGTTTAGTGGTTGAAATCCAAGCGCTTAACTGCTAAAATTCAAATTCTTGCTCCCCGTCCAACGTCAACCAAGATATCTTAGAGGGTGCGTCCTTTGGTTGCGACATGAAAACCCTCCAACCAGGGGTATCCTTTGAGCCAGGCCCATCTTGAGCTCTAGGCGAGCGCGCCCCTGACTTGAGCCTGGTTGAAACGTTTAGTCAGCTTTTTTAGAAAGGACCTACAAAAAGTGAAACTCACTTTTGGCAGAGGGGTCAACAGTAACCGAGCAGTTTGAGAACGCGGCCAACAAAGTTCAGATTTTCATCAAAAGGACAACTCATTGGGCCCTTTACCCAAAGCGAGTCATTTTCAGGGCCTGCGGGTATCCCCTTGAAGTACGAGGGCCCCTGCTGCAAAAGCTCGGAAGTGCGGAAAGTTGGCAAGAAACCTCTGCACCCGGGCGAACGAACACTGTCACGTCAAAGCCTACCCTTTAGGTATACCTAAACCCTCAAACCCATGCCCTTAAACAGGGAATTCACCAACCATTTTTTTTTTTGGGGGGGGGGCAATACTTATAACCCAGTTTTAAGCTAGATTTTTAAGGGTCCAGGTATTCTTTTTGGGTGCGTCGACGGAAACTAAGACATGTCAACTTATGGGGCCTCCTAGTTTAAAACCCGGCCCTTCTTTACGGGACCTGGTTTCAGCAAGCTTATAGTAAGGCCTGCCGTTAGAGCCATCTTGGAAGCAAATGCTGGGAATTGCTCGCTGCGCGTGTACGTTTTAACTTGGAGTTCGTCACCTCTGTACCCGGAGGCTCCAATTCGACTGGCAGCCCCGTTGGTTTACTGGATTTTCCACTTTACCATGTACCCTGCCCCCTGGGCTGCCTTTCTGATTGCAGCTCTGGAGGCTCCAATTCGATTGATTTGGGGCACAGCCAGGGTTTGAGAATCCCCAAACGCCGGTTGACCGGCGGGGTGGCCAATGCTTCGGGACCAGTCCGGGTCTTCCATTGACCGCCCTCACCCAAGGGCCTCTTTGGTGAGTTCCTGTTTTCGTCGGGGAACAAAGAGACCCTCAAGCTTCTGATAAAATGAGGTTGGCTTCGTCTCTGGCAGTTTGGTTAAACATAGATGGCACTGGTTTAGATGGTTTATTCCATTTACCAGGGCCATCTATTTTTCCAAGAGGCCACCAATGTTTCTGGGGGGGGTGTAGGACCAAACACCAAGCACCTCCCTGGCTTCCTCTGTGTCTTATTGACTTTCCTTTGCTGGCAGCCCTTAGGATGCAGCAAACTTTGCATTGGCTCACCTGCAACGCCTATGGCTTGCAACCGCTCACTTGCTATGCTGTCTTCCGGGTCGTCGGGTCGTCAGGACCAGACACCCTGGCGACAAGTCTGGGCCTCGCCTGGGCGCTGGTCGGCAGCAACCTTCTGCAGGCGATGATGGTGTGGGCGCGGTTCTCAGATTGAGGCATGGGCCACTTGTCAGGGGTAGACATAGCTAGTCATGGTGTATTTGGGTATGTCTTCACCCCCCCCCCAAAAAAAAAGGAAGGAAAAATGCAATCAAAAATAAAGAAAATATTAAACATAATAAACGGGACCCGAACAACTTGCTGGTGTTCAGCAGGGAATGTGGGAATGAACCCCCAGAGATTCCCTTAAAAAGAAAACCATAGGGGATGGTTCATAGGGGTCATTTCCTCATCCTGCTGAGCCCCAGCAAGCCCCCGTAAGCTCAAAACACCCGCATTTCTTGAGTTGGCATTGTTGCGGGAATTACCTGGTTTTCCGAGGCAAATACCGATCCCTTTTTCAGTCAAGGATTAAAATCGTAGTGCGTATTGGGCAGGGGATTCACTCATAAGCTTGCAAATTTGGATTTTTCCCCTCCAAATCAACCATCTGCTGGAATCTTTGACTGAACCTCATGCAATACCGACTTTTTCAGGGTATGATGTCAACCCTGTACTAAAGAAGGATGTATTTACCCTGGAAAACCTGTTTCTTTTTTTCCAACACATCACCGCAAGCAAGAGGGGTATTTGCAGCGTATGGGGGTAGATTATGGCACTTTAGGGGTAGCCCCTACTCAAAATACTTGGCTGTTTGTTTTCTTTGGTTTTTTCTTTTGGGGGGTATTTCTTGGAAAACCGATCAGTACCCCCCAAAACAAAAAAGAAACACCCCAACCCACCCCAACCCACAACCCCCGCCCAACCCACCCCTTTCCTTTAGAAAGCACAACCCCCTCTCCCCCCACAAAGCCCCCACCCTTCCCAAAAAAAGCAACCATCGGAGACCTCAGGACCCAACCCCCCCCCCCCAACCCATCCTTCTCCCCCCCCAAAAAAAAAAAACGTGGAGACTCCTCAGGACTTCTCCCTGGATCACGCCTTTACCCTCGCCTGGGTCGCCTTGTGCCACTGCAACTGCCACCCCGTGGCGCTCATGGGCTCGGCGCCTCGGCCCGAAACGCTCGGTCTAGCGCCCTTTCAAGCTACAAGGAACCTGGGAGTCAAGGCTTTGTTGCTCGACTGCTATTGGGTTGGATCTTTAGACTTTAACTTTTTGGGAAATTAAGGGGTTTCCCAATAAACCCCCAAAAAGTTAAACTTTTTGCAGGGGGTCAACAGCAACCAAGGTTGCATTTGGCCAAGGGATGTTAGGACTGAACAACTTTTTGCCAACCAATGGGTTTTCCACTAAACCACTGAAAGTTATTCACTTTTAGCAGGGCTTCGGAGAAAGCAAGCGAGAAGGGTTTCCTATTCTGGCGAAACACTTCCTGGGATCCACTGGATTCGACGACACCCCTTAGAGGCGATGGGGTGACTAGGGGGGGGGTCGGTCTGATGGGCCAAGAGCCCATGGCGATGCTGGAATCGCCAGTGGCTGTGTTTTTTTGTTTCCATGCAAAAACCGATCGCAACAGTGACTTTAAAAAAAAATGTCATGGTTGTTGGGAATCCCCACGTCAACCAGGGTTTAATTGGGGTGTGCCCTGACCAAACCCCAACTCCTGTGGGGTGTCCCTTTGGGAACTGCGGCAACTCACCCCATGACCCCAAATGAACAGTTCATGGTTGTTGTTGGGAAACATTTTTCTTTGTTAAATACATCTTTGCTTGTGGTGATTTAGTGGTTGAAATCCATTGTTTGCTCCCCTTCTAACGCCAACCAAGATGTTTAAGTTGAATTTGTTTTCGTAAGTCCAGGCGGTTTCCTGCTGGTTTGCGTTTGGTTTCTTTTGTGGTTTCCTTTTGGTGTTTTTTTGGTTCCCTTGTGGTTTTCATTTGCTGAAATGAATAGTTGTGCTATCTGAAAGTTGGAATCTATCACTACTGGAATTCTTTATGTTTTTTAGGCGACTTAAGCGAATGGATAATTTGGCGTTGATTCACCAGTCTTTCAACCACGGTTCTCTTCAATATCCAGCTGGGTCCTCCTGGTTTTGATGGTTTCCTGCAAAGAAGGCTCCGTGCAAACCATGGAGATGCCAGTAATTCCAGTAGCCAAGGGCTTGCCAGGAAACGGATCGCGGGGTTACCTATTATTATAGTGGCTTTCCCGGGATCCACTGTGTGTGTGTTGCTTTTTTGGGGTACTGATCGGACCCGAACTACCTGGACCCTCAAAAGTCTGGGTGAATTATCACGACCTCACACGTCCGAATTCACCCCAAATGGTGGTTTATGTGGGGAATGGCCCCCCAACCACCTTATTTGAGGGCTGGTGAGATATTATAATTCACCCAGAAAAGTCCAACTCAAAAACATGGGTGATTGGAACCCAACATTCTGGAGTGAAGTCCCTTTTTATGCGTTGGTTTGAGGGTCCAGGTACCAACTCAAAGGGAGTTAATTCACCAACCAACTTTTAGGGGTCCACGTAGCCGTTTAAAGGTTGGTTTAAGGGAAGCCAAGATTTGAACTGAAGCCACCATTTTGTTGGGCCCCCTATCTTGACAAATGGTACTCGGTCACGTTTATTTGGTTGAGGGAAACCAAAAGGAAGCAGCCAGCAAAACGGGCGTCCTTCCCATTCTCTCATTCTTCTCTCCAAAAACAGGAGGCATTTACCTTGGATTTTTAAAACTTACCAACAAAACGGGAATTTTGGGTAGGGGGGAAAAGGGGCTAGAAAAAAGCGGAGCCTGACCGCAGGTCCTGTTCTTCGTGCCGGCCAACCTGATCTACGCTCGTGCCCCCGCCGAAGAAAACACCCGAATCGATTCGGACTCTTCGTACGGCCTCTCTTTGGAGGCTTTTTGTTGGAAAGACAAAACGAGAGCGGACTGTTTAATTACCCTAACCATCATTGGGCCCTTCATTGAAGGGGTCAGGGTCTCCATTGGTTTGGGTTTTGGACCTCAAAAAGGGCCGTGTTGAGATGGCCCGTGACCGATGCTTAGGGTAACTCACTTTCTGAGTTCGAAAGGTTTCCACTTGTCCGTCCGTGTGGTTCCCAGGCATCCGGTTCCAAGAGGTGTTTAGATGTTTTCGCGGGTGAAAGGTGGATGTCCATTTAACCCACAAGTTAAGCTGGACCGCGGGTCCGTAGCGTTTCCTTGTGGGCAAGTGAGAGGATCCTTCTTTGACTTCCATGTGCGTTTCTGAAGATGTTGGTTGTTCCCCCCGGTTTTTAAGTTGGACTCCATCACTGGAGATCGTTGTGCATGTTTTCCATTGAACCCAACCACAAAAAAAAAAAAACAGACCTCAAATCATAGGGTATAGTAGTTGGGTGCTCGATTCCCCAAGTCAGTCAGTTGTTGGTACCGTAGGTTATAAACCACTTGTAAACCCCCCAGCTAGCGAACAACTTAAAAACTTGGCGAATCGAGCATCCAAGTAATGTTGACCCCATATTCATCAACCAACCAGTTTATTGACAGAAGGAAGGGTGTCCATTTATCTTTGGTGCATGTTGCTTGGATTTCAGGATTTTAACTTGTTGCCAACGAATGGGTTGTCCATTAAGCCACTAAACGTTAAAACTTTCAGCAGGGGAGCAGAAAGCAACCAAGTTATGGGTTTAGTGGTTGGAATCAGACCGCTTTTGGAGGGCCCCCGCCTCTTAGCAAAAATACCACTTTTGGAGGGGCCAACACCACCCCCCTATATAGATCGCCAGTTGATGCTTTTTTCCATCCACTTTACCCCAAAAACCAGCAACAGTGACTGAAAAAAGCAATCGCAACTTGGCTACCCACCCCCTTTTACATTTGGTTCTCATTTGAAGATCCTTCACAAGGAGTGTGTTTTCTCATGAGAAATCCCTGAAATACCTAAAGTGTTCCCTTTCGTATCCCTGACAACGTCTCTTTGTACCGCCAAAAGTCACACTGCTCGTTCTTTCCGCGCCGTGAAGCGGTTCCCCCAGGTAATTCCTACATCGGCTCCATGCGCGGCTCGGCAAAAGCTGAGATCGGTGGTTTTCTTGCGGGAGGGTGACCCCAAGGGTTGGGTGGACCTGATGACTACCCAAAAACATGAGGAATTCAGATACCAATGCTCCAATTTGAGGTGGGGCTTCTATGGCCACTGGGATTTTGGCAGGCCACCATTAAAGCAAGAGTTGGGTTCATATGTCACGGCGTCTGGGCTGTTCAAAGGCAATCCGCAAGATCCTTACCCTGCGCAAGGGTTTGGTTTCCTTTGGCTTTCCAATAGGGATGATGGATGAAGATTGGCCAACACTCCGTTGTGAACACAGCCCGGATTGTTTACCCAGTTGTCATCCAAATCGGGTCGGCCATTCGTTTAATGGGGGTTTGGGAAGCCTAGGGCCACACCTTCCCCATGGTCAGGCATCCTTTCTTTCCAAACATGTGCCACATTTCTTGGCTGCTATGGGGTTGGATCTTTAGACTTTGACTGGTTGGGAAATCAAGGTGTTTTCCACTTAACCCCCAAAAGTTATGTTTTTTGCAGGGGGGTCAACTGCAATTAAGATTTCTGGCAAACTGGGGTGGCGCCCAAAAAGAGCGATGAGTAAAGAGAACGCGGGGGCAGCCAGAAACCATCGACTGGGCGCATTTGTGCTTTTTCAGGCTGCCCTTTGCGGGGTTAGCTTAAAAGGAAGCCAAACCTCCTGCATTAAACAAATGCTATTGCCCGAAAACCATTGGTGAATTCCCATGTTGAATAAGTAGGTTGAGGCTCCAGCGGATTTTGTCGTTCTGCTGTTTGAAGACCCAAACGGGAACCCGGGCAAATTTCACCCAGACAATTATGGGGGCTATACCTTTGTGCGCGCAAGAAGCGCCCTACCAGGGTCCCCTGTTCTTTTTTCTTTTTTTTAGTTGGGACCTTGAGGGTTGAGGTTGGCTGAGCCAGGTAGCAACCTTCTGAACAACTTTCAGCCGGAGCTCACTTGGACCACCACCGTCTTTGCTCAGGCGAGAGCTGAATTCCTGGGGCTAGCGTGGGGTGAACATACCTCGTTTTTCGGTGGCTTGAAAGCGAAACCAAAAAGGACCAGATTTTGGGGCGGGCCCCCTACCAAAAGACACACACACACACACACGCACACGCGCTAGGGATCCCAGTTGCAACAAATGGAGTTCCCGCCGGCCAAGTGCATGGATTCCGCCCACCATAGTTCTGGAGCAACCAAAGCCTTGGATATGCGTCAGGTGCTCAGTTGCCCAGTGGGTTGCTTGTTGTTCGGACCTTTTTGTTTGGAAGGGTTCCGATTATTTCCTCAAAACTCCTTTTCCAACCAAAAAAGGATGCCGATTCTTTTGTTCCCATGGAAATCCACTGGGCATCTGAGTCAGGGATCCCCTTGGTAATTCATATGTCATGTGTTTATCAAAAGCAGCAAAACCGCAGCTGCATGCATGTCTAGAGAAGATGTGCCCAATACCCAGCAAATCCACAAAACCGAAAAACCGACTTTCGAGAGCGGCATGTCCCATCGACACGTGTGGGGGGTGACACATAAAGGAACCACCACCATTTTGGGGTTGGGAAAAGAGGGGGAACTAAAAGGATCCACCATTGTGGGTCTCCGAAAAAGACAAGCACTAACAGATCAAAATACGGAGCCCCCGAATGCTTTCGGCGTCCTCTTCACTCGTGGCTTAGCTTCCTGAGGTGCTCGTAGTTTCGGACCAACGACATGGGGGTCGTTTTTTTTTTCATAAGAACTCGGCGTGGGCTCTCAAACTACCCAGAACAAAGAAGGAATTCACAAACCATGAGATTTTGGGTTGCAATAACCCATGTTTAAGTTAAGATGGAATGTTGAGGGAATAAAAACCGTTATATTTTAGGGTAGGCCAAGTATGAAGCAGAGCCAAGGGATCTTGGTTTTTTGTGGGCCAGGCTTTTGATCTGTTTGCATTTGTAGTCTTTTGGTTCCAACAGGTGATCGCCTAATTTCAGGTCCTCTAGGGTCCTGTTCGTATTGGTGGGAACAGGGGTTTCCACTTCCAACTTCTGTGATACAAAGCGTTGTGTGGGAGGACTCCTGCTAGTGTTGACCCCGGATTCATAAACCCCTGTTTATTAAAATCGGGCAGTGTTCCCTCCAAAAGCGGTCTGATTCCAACCAAACGCCAGAAATGGACACCCCCCTAGCACTAGACAGAGTTTCCTTCATCCGGGGTCGGTCCGAGTTACCTGGGCCCGAAAAGTCCCACGCTTGGGGGTCCTCGAACGGACGTAGACCCTTGGTCTGCAATTGGGTCCTGCCATCACGAATTTGTTGGCTAGGAATCCTTAAAACGGTGGTCTAAAACCAACATCTTGCGTACTTGGATGTCCAACCTACGTCAGGTAAGTCGGTGATGTCCAACCTACAGAACGGAAAAACAAAAAAAACGACAAAGGTTTTCCACAAAAGCGGTTCGAGGCTCCGAAAGAAAAGTCGGCGGTGACGTGAGGTGGGCGGCCTTCTGCTCGCTGGCGCCTTCACCTGGGACTTCACCTTGCGCGTGCGCGCGGTGAGCAGCGGCGTCCTCTTCGGCCGCGCCTCGCTTTGGACCGGCGGACGGGGCGGCTGTGTGTGTGTGTGTGTGTGTTTTGGTTTCTGTCTCTCTGTTTAACGCGACCAAAATACAACTATTGTTTTTGTTTTAGAAGAAGCGAATTTGTTTGTTCCCTCGTGGTTTGTCGTTGTTGTTTTTAGTTAGTTATTTCACTCGTGTGTGGTTGTGCTGTTTATTTTTTGGGGGGGTTGTTCCCTTAAAACAGTACCCCCTAAACGGGTGATCGCACTCAGATTTCGTGTACAGTTTTGAGGTCTCCAAGCCACTTGCACTGAGCGAATCGATCGCCTTCATCAAAGCCACCAAAAACCACCCAAGCCTGACTTTACCAGAAACAGATCCAGAATCCTGGATTTTTTTGTCAGAAACTCCTGGACCCTATACCGGTTGCAACACATTTCTAAGTTTGTAAGGGCAGTTCTTTCGGGTGCAGGTGGTTTGTTGAGGGTACCTTTTTTCTGGTGTTCCGGCACAACACCATTTTATTTTGTGGGGTGGGCTTAAACAGGAGAGACCGAATCTTAATATGAATTTCTGCGCACGTGGACTCTCAAAAAGCCCCTCAAAACAGTACCATACTGCCCCCATAATTGTGGATGAATTCCAACTTTTGAGGGTAGCTTGAGGGTCCAGGTACGTTTTTCAGTCTGACAATCTGAAACAAAATATGCACATATATGGGTGTGTCTTTTTTGGCGGCCCCCTCGCCAAAAAAAAAGTGTTCCTTCTCGTTTCCTGTCAAAACTCAGTAAATTAGGGTACCACCTTTAAACATCCCAAAGTTATGGATTGAATCCCTTTCATGGATAGTGCTTTCGCGTCCGATCGATACCGATTTCAAGAAATACACCTAACTCTTCAAATGCTTAAAATACCCATTAAAGAAAGGAGTTGGAATTCGCAAATTCAATCATTTTGTGCTGCAACTCACACCGAAAACTGCGGCTCCGGAGGCCCAGGACGGAGAATTCACCAATTTGATCAGATCTAATCTGGTTTGGGAAACCACCAAAAAGGAATTGCTCAGGCTTATGACCATCATAGGTAAATCTTCAGGAACGTGAGCCCTCTATGTTTACCATGGATGGTTTTTCCTGGTTACCCCAGTGGCTTGCCGACAAGCACTGGGAATCGGTTCTGGCAGGGGGTGACTTCCCATGTTGGGTTTGGGGTCGCTGGGAATAGGGGCAGGAAGCGCTGGGAATTGCTCGGGGTCCCCGGCTTTTATGAGGAAGGTGTTTTTTTGTCCACAGCGCCAACGCCTTTGCAGGCCTTTCACTCCCCAAAGACCCGAAGAAAACAAATCGGAAAGACATCGAACAACATCCACCGTTGTTTCTCCGAAAACTCACCTGAAACCATTAAGTCGGTATTTGGAAAGCCTAGAGTGTCCATAACCCTTTGAAAATGGTGTCATTACCCAAAAGGAAGATTCGGGTCAGGACCCAATTTCTAGGGCTCATGACCGGAGACTCCAGGACCTAGGCTTCCCTTGGGCCCCGAGGCCCTAGAAAGCCCCAGTCGCCACTCGCCACTCGCCACCCGCGCGCATCGGGGCGTCGAGTCGTCGAGGCGGGGAGGAGGTGCTGCAGAGCCCCGTGGCGGGGCGCTCCGCGCGGCAGAGCTGCTGGGCCCTGGGCGCCAGCCCCGCGCTCGGTCAGCGGCGGGGGGGAGTGGGGTGGGGGGTGGGGTGGGGTGGGGTGGGGTGGGGTGGGGTGGGGTGGGGTGGGGTGGGGTGGGGTGGGGTGGGGTGGGGTGGGGTGGGGTGGGGTGGGGTGGGGTGGGGTGGGGTGGTCCTTCAAGGAACCTTTAAGAAGCTACACAACTTCAGAAAATGGGGAGGTTTCACCAAACCTCGCTCGAAGCGTCGGTCAGCGTCGGTCGAAGCGTCGAAGTCGAAGCGTCGGTCGTGTGGGAGTGGTGTGGAGTGTGGCTTTGGTGGTCCTTCCAGGAACCTGGACTGAGCCAAAGAAGCTCCCCAACTTCAAAAAATGGGGGGAGGTTTCACCAGTTCCAGGATTTGGGGTTGGGATGAGCGATTTTTCCCTGGACCTTCCATTGATACCTTTTGTTTTGCTCGCTTTTTTTCTGCTCGAACACACAGTTTGTGCCCGAGTCTTCAATTTCTGCCCGAGCAATGAAAAAGTGCCCGAGGTTTATATGTTCAAACGAGCGCTTTTTCAAATTTGCGCTCGTTTGCGGGTTTTTGCGCTCGTTTTGCGGGCCGTTGCGGGCGTTTTTGCACACCCTTTCTGCTCGAGTAGGTCATGTTAGGACCTGACAGCCCGCATGCCTCCAAAAACTGCTCGAGGTCCAAAAAAGAGGACAAGCCAAGAAAACAAGGTATTGACAGGGGAGGCAGAAATTTCAGCTACGTTTGAAGGTCCAGGTCAGTTGGAAGTGTTGCGGCTTTAAGTGTGGACTTTGGACACATGTTGCCACCCACAAGAAACGACCTATGGTAAAGCAAGTCGGACAAGAAACCCATCCGATGCCTTTTGGGTGGCAAATTCACTCATTTCCGAGTCCCATTTGGGAGCCTGGAGACTTGGGGCTTGAAGAAGAAGAAGAAGTACCCCCAATAAATCAGCCCTTCATCGACCCACTTTTTGTTAGAAAAAGAACACGGGATTTCCTTTTTGAGTAAAGTGTGTACCCACGTTTTTGTTAGACAAAAAAACAGTTTTCATTTTTAGTGAAGGTGTAGGTCAGCCAGAGATTGGCAAGGCCATGTAAGCCAAAGAGGGTATAGGGAACTATGCCATGCTTTGTGTGTCAATTGCTTTTTAGTCAAGGTTTGACGTTGGTTGTTGATCAATACTCAGGCACATGTCAGAATTCCAGCGACGCCTGTAAATGAACCTGAATGAGGCAGTGCTTTGCTGGGCAAGCCTTATAAGGTTCCCGCCCACCCTTGCCACAACCTGAAGCTCGGGAAATGCCTCCCTTTACAAGGAACATGGTTCAAACCACCCCCGGAAGATCAGGTTCCATGGTTAGGAGGATACTGTTATATTCACGAGAACTACCTGGACCGAGCCTCAAATTCCAACTGAAACATGGGTGAGTTGCAACCCACAATGATGGAATGCGTGAGTTCCCTTCTTTTTGGGGTGGTTTTCAGCCATCCGGTTCCAGGCAGATGTCTTAGATGTTTTAAGCTGGTTTAGTAGATAGGGAATTGGTTTGGACCGCCCAGTTATGTTCAAAAGTTCATGTGAATTGGTCGGTTGAGGGGATATCATCCTGAACTCAAACGGGGTATGGTAGGGTTGAGGTGGGTTTGGAGTGAGTTTGGAGCTGGGTTGACTCAAACCCATGGAAAGGAGCAACATGTGATCGACCGGTTTTTCCTTGGACCATTTCAGGGGTGAACAGAAAGTTCAAGCTTGTTTTGGCCAATCCACGAAGGAAAGGACGATTTTGATCACCCAACGCTCCAATTTGTCAAAGCCCCGAAACAAGGTGACCAATGCTTCGGGGTCTGGGTCGTTATTTGAACGCTGAGGCCTGGAACATACCAATTGAACAAAGCGGGTGTTTGGAGAAGAAAGGGGCGTGACTCATTCCGAGAGGTGAATCTTCTGAGTTTTCCTCACTCGCTGAGTTTCGCTTCGGACGTGGGTCACTTTTTGGGTGGGAGAGGTCACAAACCTGTCAACCCAAGTTGGGGCCAATGCGTAGTCAAAATGGCTCACTGCCAAAGTTCCTGGACTGACCTTTTGGGAAGACCATTTTGGTGGTAAACAGATAGTTTGGACTCGTTTGGCCCGTCTAGTCAGGAAGTGGATGAAGGGAGAAGTGCTAAGAGCTCACTAGCGGGAAAGCGTTCGATGAAACTGGGGTCCCATTCTTGCTTCAGGTTTTAGAATTACTGTCAGGCTTGCAGAATGTTGGATTAAAATATGTCCCCACGAGGAAACGTAGTTAGTCATGTTGACTTGCTTGGAGATTAGTCGGCGAATTCAACATCATTTGGTTGGTACTGGCGAAGTAACTACTCTCCAACAAACATGGTTCGATCTCTGATTTGCTCGAAAACAAATCGGTGGGCTGGTGTTGACTGGGTTTTCAAAGCAGCTTCAGTTGGTACTTCGAGACACTAGAATACTTGGGTACTATGATTCTACATGGACCCTCAAAATACCCTTCAGAATGGGTTGTAGCCCCAAACATACGGGGGTAAAATCCCTTTTCAAGGGGTCGTTTCCAGGGTTTAGGCACGCCTAGTGGTTCTTTTGGCAGACCCTGGGCTTAAGGCTGGCGTCTTTTGAAACCCCACGAGTGGCGAGTGAGCCGAAGTCCTTAGGGCCCTTAGCAGAAGCAAATTCAAAAACACATCCAGGAGCACATCCGCGGTTTCAGTTCCGTGAGTTGTCACGGGTTGGCTGAAGCCTCATGTCCGACTTAAACCTGCCCCTCTGGTATGGTTTCTTCGGGGTCCAGGATCTTTAGACCTACATGAGCCGATGTGTACTCCGGAAGCTCGGAAGAGAACCGAAAAAGGAACCTCCCCCAGGGAGGTTCCTCTACCCGGGTGCCCAGCCATTTCCACTTCACGGGAACCTCCGAAAAAACCGTTTTGGGATCCCATTTTGGGGGATTGGTGAATTCACCACCCATTTTAGAACCGGGATTTTAGTGGTTGGATTGGGATGTTCACTGGGGGTACGATTTGGAATTTGACCCATGTTCATTTGAGGGTGTGTAAAACCCACCATAGCGACGCAGCAAAACGTTATCCGCTGATCGAGCCATATGAAGCCAAACCCCAATTGTCCCGCTAACCGGAAATCGTGGCTTGCGTTCAAGGAACCCATCAAATCGGGAAGCACGAAGAACAGTATAGCCAGCGGAAGAAGGGAGACCCAGTTAGACCAGTAAACAAGGGGCACCCGATGAAAACAAATGAACTAATGAACCTTTGAGACGTTTGGAGCGGCCCCACCCCCTATTAGGGCGGGTTGACAACTCCGTGGTCAACATGACATTGACATACCTCTTGGGTAAAACAAACAAATGATTGTTGAGTCGAGGCTTTTGGCTGCACTGGGCCCTCACCCAGCGGGATTTGCGGCGCTTCGCACTGCACGGGGGTGTCCATCAGAGTGCAGAGTGCATCCAGGAGACTGGGGTCTCCTCTTCTTTGCATCCCAGAGGCTCCAATTCGATTCATTTAGGGCCCTCAAACAGCCAGGTTTTGAGACCCCCAAACACCTCAGCGGGGTGTCCAATGGAGGGGTCGGGTCTTCCACTGAAAACCGAAGCCAGGAGCCTCTGGGATATTATATATATATATATATATGTATGTATGTACGTACGTACGTACGTATGTATGTATGTATGTACATGTAACGCGTGCTCCTGTTGTGCTCAGGGGGACTCCTCTGAAAAAGGGTTTTAACGGTGTAAATGGTTTTGGGCCCAGACCTTTCCTTTGAGAAGCCGATCAAACGGATTGAACGGTTTATACTGCTTTAACGGTTTAAGCAGTTTTGGGCCAGGACCTTTCCTTTGGGAAAGGGTTCGAACGGTTGAAGCAGCTGAACCGGTTTTGGGCCCAGACCTTTCCTCTGAGAAAGCGTTCAATCGGCTCAAACAGTTCAAACGGTTTGGGGCCCTGACCCTTTTCTTTGCTGTTTTGTGTTGGTATTTTTTTCTGACCAAGCCTCGCTTAAAAATAGGAGAGAGGTAGATCCAAACCGAGTGACATTTCGTTTGGCCTGGATCCAAAGTTTGGGTATTGTCTTTGGACATATGCCCCTTTTCTGCCGCGAACCCCCCAAAGCCCAGCAAAATGGCAGACAAATCACCGCGACTGCCACTTCAGCACCAAACAACATTGTATATTTTGTGTGTGTGTTTTTTTTGGGGGAGGGGTACCATATGCATATATGTATATATACACGCAAACACATGGGAGCTTTTTTTGCTGAGGTCGCCCACTTACCAAAATGAAGCCAACCATGTTTCTTATGTACATATATACTTTAGAGCCTCCGGCTCAGTCCGCCGACATTGTCCTCTCCCTTTTCTCCTTCTTCCTCTCTCCCTTGTCTCCCTGGTGTGTTCTGTCGTCCTCTCTCCCTCCCTCCGCTCCCCATCCTCCCCATCCCCCCAAGCCACTCTCTCCCCAATCTCCCTCTCTCGTATGTATGTATGTATGTATGTATGTATGTATGTATGTATGTATGTATGTATGTATGTATGTATGTATGCATGTATATATGTATGTATGTAATGTATGTATGTATGTATGTATGTTATGTATGTATGTATGTAGGTATGTATGTATGTATGTATGTATGTATGTATGTATGTATGTATGTATGTATGTATGTATGTATGTATGTATGTATGTATGTATGTATGTATGTATGTATGTATGTATGTAATGTATGTATGTATGTATGTATGTATGTATGTATGTATGTATGTATGTATGTATGTAATGTAATGTAATGTAATGTAATGTAATGTATGTAATGTAATGTAATGTAATGTAATGTAATGTAATGTAATGTAATGTAATGTAATGTAATGTAATGTATGTATGTATGTATGTATGTATGTATGTAATGTATGTATGTATGTATGTATGTATGTATGTATGTATGTATGTATGTATGTATGTATGTATGTAATGTATGTATGTATGTATGTATGTATGTAATGTATGTATGTATGTAATGTAATGTAATGTAATGTAATGTAATGTAATGTAATGTAATGTAATGTATGTATGTATGTATGTATGTATGTATGTATGTATGTATGTATGTATGTATGTATGTATGTATGTATGTATGTATGTATGTATGTATGTATGTATGTATGTATGTATGTATGTATGTATGTATGTATGTATGTATGTATGTATGTATGTATGTATGTATGTATGTATGTATGTATGTATGTATGTATGTATGTATGTATGTATGTATGTATGTATGTATGTATGTATGTATGTATGTATGTATGTATGTATGTATGTATGTATGTATGTATGTATGTATGTATGTATGTATGTAATGTAATGTAATGTAATGTAATGTAATGTAATGTAATGTATGTATGTATGTATGTATGTATGTATGTATGTATGTATGTATGTATGTATGTATGTATGTATGTATGTATGTATGTATGTATGTATGTATGTATGTGTATGTATGTATGTATGTATGTATGTATGTATGTATGTATGTATGTATGTATGTATGTATGTATGTATGTATGTATGTATGTATGTATGTATGTATGTATGTATGTATGTAATGTATGTATGTATGTATGTATGTATGTATGTATGTAATGTATGTATGTATGTATGTATGTATGTATGTATGTATGTATGTATGTATGTATGTATGTATGTATGTATGTATGTATGTATGTATGTATGTATGTATGTATGTATGTATGTATGTATGTATGTATGTATGTATGTATGTATGTATGTATGTATGTATGTATGTATGTATGTATGTATGTATGTATGTATGTATGTATGTATGTATGTATGTATGTATGTATGTATGTATGTATGTATGTATGTATGTATGTATGTATGTATGTATGTATGTATGTATGTATGTATGTATGTATGTATGTATGTATGTATGTATGTATGTATGTATGTATGTATGTATGTATGTATGTATGTATGTATGTATGTATGTATGTATGTATGTATGTATGTATGTATGTATGTATGTATGTATGTATGTATGTATGTATGTATGTATGTATGTATGTATGTATGTATGTATGTATGTATGTATGTATGTATGTATGTATGTATGTATGTATGTATGTATGTATGTATGTATGTATGTATGTATGTATGTATGTATGTATGTATGTATGTATGTATGTATGTATGTATGTATGTATGTATGTATGTATGTATGTATGTATGTATGTATGTATGTATGTATGTATGTATGTATGTATGTATGTATGTATGTATGTATGTATGTATGTATGTATGTATGTATGTATGTATGTATGTATGTATGTATGTATGTATGTATGTATGTATGTATGTATGTATGTATGTATGTATGTATGTATGTATGTATGTATGTATGTATGTATGTATGTATGTATGTATGTAATGTATGTATGTATGTATGTATGTATGTATGTATGTATGTATGTATGTATGTATGTATGTATGTATGTATGTATGTATGTATGTATGTATGTATGTATGTATGTATGTATGTATGTATGTATGTATGTATGTATGTATGTATGTATGTATGTATGTATGTATGTATGTATGTATGTATGTATGTATGTATGTATGTATGTATGTATGTATGTATGTATGTATGTATGTATGTATGTATGTATGTATGTATGTATGTATGTATGTATGTATGTATGTATGTATGTATGTATGTATGTATGTATGTATGTATGTATGTAATGTATGTATGTATGTATGTATGTGTATGTATGTATGTATGTATGTATGTATGTATGTATGTATGTATGTATGTATGTATGTATGTATGTATGTATGTAATGTAATGTAATGTAATGTAATGTATGTAATGTAATGTATGTATGTATGTATGTATGTATGTATGTATGTATGTATGTATGTATGTATGTATGTATGTATGTATGTATGTATGTATGTATGTATGTATGTATGTATGTAATGTATGTATGTATGTATGTATGTATGTATGTATGTATGTATGTATGTATGTATGTATGTATGTATGTATGTATGTATGTATGTATGTATGTATGTATGTATGTATGTATGTATGTATGTATGTATGTATGTATGTATGTATGTATGTATGTATGTATGTATGTATGTATGTATGTATGTATGTATGTATGTATGTATGTATGTATGTGTATGTATGTATGTATGTATGTATGTATGTATGTATGTATGTATGTATGTATGTATGTATGTATGTATGTATGTATGTATGTATGTATGTATGTATGTATGTATGTATGTATGTATGTAATGTAATGTAATGTAATGTAATGTAATGTAATGTAATGTAATGTAATGTAATGTAATGTAATGTAATGTAATGTATGTATGTATGTATGTATGTATGTATGTATGTATGTATGTATGTATGTATGTATGTATGTATGTATGTATGTATGTATGTATGTATGTATGTATGTATGTATGTGTATGTATGTATGTATGTATGTATGTATGTATGTATGTATGTATGTATGTATGTATGTATGTATGTATGTATGTATGTATGTAATGTATGTAATGTATATGTATGTATGTATGTATGTATGTATGTATGTATGTATGTATGTAATATGTAATGTAATGTAATGTAATGTAATGTAATGTAATGTAATGTAATGTAATGTAATGTAATGTAATGTAATGTAATGTAATGTAATGTAATGTAATGTAATGTAATGTAATGTAATGTAATGTAATGTATGTATGTATGTATGTAATGTATGTATGTATGTAATGTATGTATGTATGTATGTATGTATGTATGTATGTATGTATGTATGTATGTATGTATGTATGTATGTATGTGTATGTATGTATGTAATGTATGTATGTATGTATGTATGTATGTAATGTAATGTAATGTAATGTAATGTAATGTAATGTAATGTAATGTAATGTAATGTAATGTATGTATGTATGTATGTATGTATGTAATGTATGTATGTATGTATGTATGTCTGTATGTATGTATGTATGTATGTATGTATGTATGTATGTATGTATGTATGTATCCTTGCACTTCCCCTTTGCTCCCCAGTATTTCCCGCAAAATACACGGTTTTTCCCGCGTTTTCGCAAAGAGGATGTCCAAAAACACAGAGTTTTGCCAAATTTTCGGCAAAAGGATGCAGGAAGCAAGCCAGCAAAAAAGCCGGCAGGGGGAATCGAGCCTGGGACCCCTGTTTTGCAACACCGGCTCCCCGAAGACTACGTTTAGTGGAACGTCATCAAATTGCCGCGCGGTACGTGGGGGGACCCCCCCCCCCCCCAAAAAACCTACGTAATAGACGTCGGGCGGGGGGGGGGTTAGGGGGGGGGGGTTATCCTCTATCCTCTCTTAGGTGTCCGACACGCCGAGCAATGTCGGCGGATATATATATACATGTAAACATAGATACCCTCCCTCCCACTGACATGGCACCTTCAAGAGAAAATTGATCTTCCCGGCAACCTCCAAAGGTGCTACGGACCCACTGTTAGCTGGCTCAGAAGGAAGCCAAAACGACGCCAACCCTGTGTCAAAAGGAACCAAACAAGATGCCATCGATTGTTTGGTTTTGGCTTGAGAATTCTATGATGACAACAAACCCATATGTCGAAAGGTTGAGGCGCAGAAGAATATTTTCAGGTGGTGTTTATACAAATGCATATATACATACATAGAGACTGTATGCATGTTTTCACGGCCTTCAAGCATCTTGGTTTGAAGGGACCACCAAGAACCAAATTCATGTTGGAGTCATCCTCACTTTGAGGAGCCATCCTCATCTTGCATGACTTACACATGAGAAAATATGAAAAGAAAAACTATGGCCATAGAGATGCCCATTTCTTGACACCAACATATGGGTGTTTCGCAGAATTTGGGCTCCATTTTAAAACAGTCCAGGACTTTTTCCTTTTGGTTTCGCTTCTTAAATACCAGCTAGCAGGGGTCCACCATTTTGAGGAACCTCTGCTTTGGTGCATTTTGCTTGGATGTTAGGACTGTAACTTTTGCCAACTAATGCATTGTACCCGCAGCAGCAGCGTCTCGAGCAGCACGAGCAAAGCGTGAGGTTGATCATCTCGACAACGACCTACAAACTCAAGCACGAGGCGAACGAACCTCTGCCAGTGCAACGCTTGCTGAGACACAAAGCATCAGGAGGCCATGTGAGTGACGAGCCTGACATGCTGGACTTCGGTGTGACTATCGGGGCTTGCACATCCTCGGCGTTCCTGCTGACTGCGAATGACCTGTCCCAGAGGATGCGGCCAGCGCACATGGATTTCTCATGCGTCGGTAGAGCTTCGCCTGATGGAGACAATGCGCCACGGCTACAGGGTCACGCGCCTGCTGCAGAGAAATACCCAGACCTGTCCACAGCGCCGTGGACCCAAGCGACATCCCACGCAGGAGGAGTTGTGCATTGGAAGATCTTCGCCAAGATTTCCAGCTCCACGTTAGCACTCTTTTGCCTTGAGGTCATTGAGGTCTGATTTGATGTTGTTCCCCAACATTTTAAAAAAACAAAGTCTTTGCATGGGCTTAGCCCCTTCCTCCAGAAACGGTTGGTGTCGTCACCTTGGCGCCAGCCAGAGCAAGGATTGGCGATATAGTGGAAGACAAGGTCGCGGCCGGCCACAAAGTCCTTGTGCAGTGCGTGTACGCAGCTTTTCGTGAACTCTTGGCCTCCTTTCTACGGGACATCCGAGGCCTCGCTGTCAGCACTTCCAGTAGCACGACCAGCCAGGCCTAAGCGCAGTTTGTGCAAATAGACCGACAAAAGGTCCCCAACAGCTGTTTTTTTGCCGAACACTCTGGAACCCTCGAGTTACCACTGAATTCGTATTTTCCCCGCAACCTTTACAATGGCTGAAGACCACTAAGCTTTCAGCTAGTTGGGACACTTTCCGTTGTCTTCAGATTATCCAACAGTCTTGTCTCCAAATCGGGAAAGCATGCCGATCAGTTGTCTATCTTGCTGTAGGTGGCTGTGCTCACAGCGCGAGGCCGAGGCAGTCAGTGCCCCACTGTGGTGTGCTGCCTGTTCCGGCGTTTGCTGCTGACGCAGGCTATCTGGCTCACGCAAAAGATCCGGGAAAAGTTGCGGTGAGGATCTCCCGTGCAACACACGAGTTGGTCCTGCTGCACGAGCAAGTCGACGGAAGACAAAGTGGAGATCATGTATGTCGCCTTCAGTGGCACCTGTGGCAAGCCCAAAAGAACACGGGCTACCTCTACGAAGAAGCGGACATGGAAGCAATGTGGACAGAGGCCGACGTGAGTGCTTGGACGTGGGAAACGAAAAAGGCTTGGAGAGCACAGTTCCGGAATCTGACTCAGAGGATGAAAATTTAGGCTTCGCAGAGATCTTCCGGGATGCAAGCATGCGCAGTCTTTGTGAGCTTCGTGACGCAGAGACACAAAGTCGCACCAGAAGCCTCCCCTACTACAGACGCGCGCAAAGCGTGCCCATCCGAGCTGTGGGATTACTGTCACAGCGGCAGCAGCCGAGGATGCTGATGCAGCCGATGCTGAAGCCAATGTCAAAGTCTCTTCTGGAGTCGTGAACTTGCCCATGATGCCTCACAACGTTTCCCGGTATCCAGGCTTCCAAACAACCCAAGAAATGTAGGACTCAGTCCCTACGGCCCTGGCGCATTGCATCAGCAGACGCTTGCCAGATACCCACATCATAAAGCCGAAGTGACTTTTCATGGACAGCACATCCTGCTTTCACAGCGCTGCAGGTCCTTCAGGCCTGAAGCGGCAGTGTATTTCGGTGACCAGCTGCAAGCTGTCATCTACTTGGGGATGGGCACACTGGCAAGCCACGATGCTTCCTACAACCTCGTGTGTTTCACTTATACACTTCAAGCCTTGAGGGCCGTACAGGCATGCCTGGGGCCCATGGACAAATGGCTCAGTGCCCCAACCACTTAGATACAGAGCCGACAAAAGCCTCGCAGCCTAGGGAAAAAAAGCTGCCGCCGCACTTTCTTTGCATAGTGTTGGGCGCAGAAAGGGCCGCAGCGGCTACATGCCCAGGCATGAGGTGCGGTGCCAGCAGGCGCTTGCCAACCGACGTGACTGACCCAGTCAGGCACGATTGTTGCTCAGGCAGTCCTTGCAAAATCTGTGTTTGCTTCTTTCGTCCGACGTGTGATCAATGAACGTCACGCTTTTCCTCCAAAAGGCGCAACGCAAGTTGACAGTTGCAAGTTTTGCTTGCTGTCACAGTTGGGCCAATTCATCGCCAGGCGCCGACTCAGCGCCAGATAATGTAGCGCCGCAATGCGGCGTCAGGGGCCAATTCAGCGCCAGGCGCCAATTCAGCGCCAGGCAATGTGGCGCCGCACCGCGGCGTCAGGGGCCAGCGCGCGCTATCGCCTTCAACGTGGCGCCGTAATGCGTCCTCAGCGCCAGGCGGATATAGCGCACACCATTTACGGGTTCCCTGAACTAATGGATTTTCCATTAAACCACGAAAAGTGAAACTTTAGAGCCTCCGGCTCAGTCCGCCGACATTGTCCTCTCCCTTTTCTCCTTCTTCCTCTCTCCCTTGTCTCCCTGGTGTGTTCTGTCGTCCTCTCTCCCTCCCTCCGCTCCCCATCCTCCCCATCCCCCCAAGCCACTCTCTCCCCAATCTCCCTCTCTCGTATGTATGTATGTATGTATGTATGTATGTATGTATGTATGTATGTGTGTATGTATGTATGTATGTATGTATGTATGTATGTATGTATGTATGTATGTATGTATGTATGTATGTATGTATGTATGTTATGTATGTAATGTATGTATGTATGTATGTATGTATGTATGTATGTATGTATGTATGTATGTATGTATGTATGTATGTATGTATGTATATGTATGTATGTATGTATGTATGTATGTATGTATGTATGTATGTATGTATGTATGTATGTATGTATGTATGTATGTATGTATGTATGTATGTATGTATGTATGTATGTATGTATGTATGTATGTATGTATGTATGTATGTATGTATGTATGTATGTATGTATGTATGTATGTATGTAATGTATGTATGTATGTATGTATGTATGTATGTATGTATGTATGTATGTATGTATGTATGTATGTATGTATGTATGTATGTATGTATGTATGTAATGTATATATGTATGTATGTATGTATGTATGTATGTATGTATGTATGTATGTATGTATGTATGTATGTATGTATGTATGTATGTATGTATGTATGTATGTATGTATGTATGTATGTATGTATGTATGTATGTATGTATGTATGTATGTATGTATGTATGTATGTATGTATGTATGTATGTAATGTATGTATGTATGTATGTATGTATGTATGTATGTAATGTATGTAATGTATGTAATGTAATGTAATGTAATGTAATGTAATGTAATGTAATGTAATGTAATGTTAAGGTATGTATGGTAGGTAGGTAGGTAGGTAGGTATGTATGCATGCCTGCATGAATGTATGTATGTAATGCATGTATGCATGTATGCAACGTAATGTAATGTAATGTATGTAATGTATGTAATGTATGTATTGTAATGTAATGTAATGTAATGTAATGTAAAGTACTGTAATGTAATGTTATGTAATGTATGTATGTATGTAATGTGATGTAATTTAAAGTAAAGTAATGTGATGTTGTGTAATGTAATGTATGTATGTCTGTATGTCTGTCTGTATGTATGTCTGTATGTATGTATGTATGTATGTATCCTTGCACTTCCCCTTTGCTCCCCAGTATTTCCCGCAAAAAACACTGTTTTTCCAGCGTTTTCGCAAAGATGATGTCCAAAAACACAGAGTTTTTCTCCAGATTTCCGGCAAAAGGATGCAGGAAGCCCAAGCCAGCAAAAAAGCCGGCAGGGGGAATCGAGCCTGGGACCCCTGTTTTGCGACACCGGGTCCCCGAAGACTACGTTTAGTGGAACGTCATCAAATTGCCGCGGCGGGGGCCCCCCCCCCACCCCCCTCCCCCCACGTATCAGACGTCGGGTGGGGGGGGGTTAGGGGGGGGGTTATCCTCTATCCTCTCTTAGGTGTCCGACACGCCGAGCAATGTCGGCGGACTTGTAGCAGGGGAGCAGAAAGCAAGCGAGCCTGGGGAGGAAGCAAATCCGGATTTGTTTGGTACTGCGAGGAGATGGGTAGCCTCGTGCCGCTCTGCGCCTCGGTTTGAGTCCATTGGGACGGTTGGGTGTCATATACCCACTTCAGGGGTACTCCAAATGCCCATTTTGCTTAAGTTGTTTTTTCGACAAACCTGGGTTTTCATGGTAAATACCTCCTTTTTGGTAGAGGTCAACATCATAGCCTCCAAAAAATATGTGTACTTTTGCGGTAGGGGGTAGATACAGCCTTTTGACGCTCAAACTAGCAACCTGGACCCTCAAAATACCCTGAACAAAAGACACCTCGCCATAATTGTGGGGCAATAACCCCATGTTTGAGGGAATGTTGAGGGTCCAGGAACTTAAAAACAGTGAGTTTTGCAACCCAAACTTATGGGATGAATCCCCACGGAGTTGATGCGTTTGAGGGTCCAGGCACGGGTTTTGGAGGTGCTGATGGACAACAACCGCGGAAACAACAACCGCGGACACCGCACCAGTTGGGATGCATGAAGCCCGATTTGAACACTGGTTGATAAACCAATATCTTGGCTGCTCTTGGGTTGGATCTTTAGACTTTTTGTGGGTGGGAAATGAAGGGTTTTCCACTAAATATACGCAGCTATTCCAACCGGTGCCTTTCGCGGATTTTGTCCATCCACTGAAAACAAGGGAACTCTAATTCCTGGAAGACGCGGTGTGGGAATGGACTTGGATCTCCTGGTTACCATCTGGGTGAATAAAATCGATTCCTCATTGAATCGCGCTAGTCTCACCCAAAGCGAATCGACCTGACACGTTGTTTCCCTGATTTGGTCCGTTTTATGTCAAGGTTCAAGAAGGTGATCGACGCGATCGCCTTTGCATTTCGGGGCCCCACAGGGGCAAGTACGGAAAGATTTTGCCCGACGCGGCCTTCTGGGCGTGTTTTCGCTTTGCCTTTCTCGGTGTTTCCCATCCATCAGCGGGTGCCAATTCGTGTTTGGAGTTGGTACCATTGGTACCCCTTGCTTTGTGGTTCTTATAATATACGGAAAACATCGGAAAACCAAAGGGGAACCCCGCCCATTTTGGAATTTTGGAGGTAAAGCTAAAGATACCCAAGTGAGATTGAAATGGGAACGGGTCAACACACCCCGCCTAGATGCCTAGTGCAGGAGATGTATTCATGCGTTTTTTTTTCCGTGCGAGAGGCGTGTTGGTTGTCCAGCCCAAGCCGCCACTGTCCCCCTTTGGAGGCCCCAAGTGCTTGCTTGATCAACCCATGTCTTATCTTTGAACCACTCCTGACCCAGATCGTTATGTGTGTGTGTGTGTGTGTGTCGAGAAGCAAAAAAAAACACCAGGGACTCCGGACCGGTTTTAGTCCTTCCTGGATCGCCAGTTGCTGTTTTTTCCCATCCAACCCGAAAAACCAGCAACAGTGACTGAAAAAAAACAACTCTGCTATCCTGGTTGTTTCCATTGACCGAATCTGGCCACCCACCTTTGTTGGGGTGACCGATCTTTGACCACTTCACATGAAGTCCGTGGATTCATATCTCTTGGGCGCACTCTCAAGCCTCAAGTAGTTCGGTTTTCATTGAACCCCACCCGGTTCTCGTCACCTTGGGGGCCGAGCTATTTTGGTTTATCACGTCAGCCCCAAAAGAGATGAATTCACCAGGTGCTTTTTGGGCGCTGCCTATTTTTGAGTTGGTATTTTGAAGCTCGGTCCAGGTAGAAAAAGATCATCATTTGGGGCCTTGTAGCTATCTTCCATCCCACCCCCTTAAATATGGATTTTGGGGGAGGGGCGGGCCCCTGGAATTCCATTTATGGCTCCGCTTCCCTTTTGTGGGGACTAGCTGAAAGGTTTTTCGAGGAGCTCCCACCCAAACCCCCTCCCCCTTGTGGCCCTTGTGGATGGGGGGGATGCCTCAGGCTGCATCGCGCCCTTCCTGACCTTGGCGGTGCTTTTGTGGAGCCTTGTGGACTGGACGAGGGAGAGCAAGGCGGGAGCGCTTCAGACGCTCGAAATCGGCGGAAAAAGTCGGCCACGGGGCAATGAATTGTCTCAGACTCATTTTTTCCAGTGGTGGCAATGTTCCGAAGGTTTCCTTGTATTTGGGAGGGGCTCGATGTAAGAGCAACCTGAACTTCTTCTGGAGGAGGTTCCCTAACAATCAAGTTTGCCCCTTCACCCCTGGAGGCCCAAAAGGTCCGAGGAAGATGGTGAAGCACACATGGCCCAAACCGCGCCTGGTCTCACCGAGAGATCGTTTGGAAACGAACCGACACAAGGACTTCTCCGATCTTGGAGCAAGCAACACCCTGACATGGGTACGGCTCAAACATATCACAACTGGGGTTGCGCAGGTTTGTTGGTTCCATCTGCCAAGGTGCCATTTTGGTACAGTCTTTTGACCCACAGCCACATGTTCAATTTAAGGGGCCCTGAATGCGGTTATTGCAACCCAAAGTTCAGGGGCACTAGCCCGCGTTTAATCCGTTTAATCACTGCTGGCAAGTTATTTAAAGATTTGTTTTGATTTGTTGGTTCTGTTCATCTCAGTAGGGGGCTGCAAAACAACAAAGTTCTTTGCTACCATACCAAGGGTTGTATAGTTCAGGGTCCTTTTTGTTACAAATAGACGCAGAAGACGTGTCAGGCCGACGGCGCGTTGGCTTTGCTGTGCTGCGTACCTCCCACCCACTTGATGATCCAGGCGGGCTACATTGGACCCTCGGCAACAAGAAATCGGGATCCATGGGATACGTCAACCGATCGGACCAGCAAAACTTGCCCATAAAAAACATCATCTCCCTCCCCCGATCGAGTTCATGGACTGTTTGCGATTGTTGGGAGGTGTGGACCGGCTTTTTTGCCAGTCCACTCGGTTTGCTCAGCTTGGTGCTCACGCCTTTTTGCTTGGGGGCGAGTTCACTTCGTCTCCGGGAGTTCCCAAGCTTGACCTTTATTTATGCTACAGCCAAGGCATGTGAGGCAGGAGCCCCGTTTCCTCGTTCTTCATGAGGCAAAAACCGTAGAAGTCCACGAGCCCGAAAGACGAGCGCCCCTTTTTGCGCATGGCCACGGGTTTGGGATGGTTGAAACCTCCGTGCTTGTTTCTCACGATGGCATGGGAAGTCGACCGGAGTCCCGAAACCGGCTACGATCTAGTCTGTGATTTCCCCCTGCTGGGTAAAGTTGGAATCGATCACTACTTTAAATGTGCTCCGTTTTTCTTTCGGGTGGATTACCCCCAATATGTGCAAACATTCCTTTCAAAAACCGGATCTGTTTTCTTTGGGTTTCCGGAGGTGGGCTAGAAAGGGGCCCTGGACAGGATGGACATGGAAGGTACCCCTAGTGCCAACTTGTGTTCATGGCAATTTGTGGAGGGAAAGGGGCGCGGGCGTTTTCCGTGCTGACGAACCGGAAAACTCTTCTTCGTGAAACATGACGTGTGCGGCTTGAGGCCTTTCCAGGAGCCATTCGGACTCCCGCCGTTATAGTTCCTCTTTTTTGCCGTTGGATGACCCACTCAGAATGCCTCGCTCCCCGAGGAGCGTTTCGGACTTGGTTGAGCATTTTGTTGCGCCAATCCACTCGTTCGGTGAGAAAGGGAAGCAAGAAGGGGACAAGCCGAGATCCACGTTTAGGGTTCCCTAGTTTGACCCAACCCAAATGGCTGTGGGTCAAAATCCTTGGTTCCGTTACCGATCAGGCAACCCGAATTTTGGGTAATGTATTTTTCTCCACCTTGATGGTTCTTTGAGGGAGGTACACAAAAAAAAAGTATGTTGAAATCACCAACCATACACTTGGGTTGCAATGACCCAATCATCAAGCGACTTGTGAAGGTTCAGATGGGCGGAAGCCACTGGGAATGCCAAATATCACCTCATGGAACCCTGATTAAGCTCTTGGCTGGTTTTGAGGGATGGACATGTTCCCTTTTCGTCCTGTGAAGCTGCGTATCACTTAGGGAACACCTCCCTAGGGAAGGGTCGATTCATTGGTCAACATAACCTTTTTGACTTTGACCATAGTATGGTGACCAAGGCCATACACCCGGTCTTTTTTAGTTGAAACCAATCCGGTTTTCCAAGTTGCAAATATTCATCTCTCGTGTAGAAAGGGTTCCTGGACCCTCAAAAGTCCAGCTTAAGGATAGTCTATGGCCCGAAAATTATGGTTGATGAATGCCCGTGTTTAAGGGTACTTTGAAGGGTCCAGGTTGACAATCATAGCAACTGAGAAAAGTTTGGCTTTTGCGTGGCTACGTACCAAAATGCAACGAAACCCAGTGGAGTTGTTCCATGTTCCTAATCTTTTTGATGGTCCCTCGGATACCACTTGGTGGACCCTTTGGCAGAACCAAAAAGGACATAAACCCAGGGCAGCACACGGTGGTATCTGGAATCAGCGGGCAAAAGCCCATGGATAAATTTTACCAGTGCTTCTTCCCCAAACCCAAATCAGTACCCCACTGCCAAAATATGTCCAAAAAGAGTGGTTTTGATAAATGAGTTCACCCTTCACCATACTTATTTTGGGCTTTAAAGTCCTGTTATCAATGGGTAGGCCAGCTTTTGGTTTGAAACCGTTTCCAGCAGCATGGGGCGCACTTGTCAGAAGGCCTCAGGTCAAACAAAAAAAAAAACATGCCTGGCTCCCCCAACAGATGGTGGTCGTCCTTTTGGGTTTCCTTTGAAAATGGTATTCTCAACCAAACGTTAACCCATACATGCCCTTTTAAGCACAACAAAGGAACCGGGCCCTCCGAAAAAAAGAGCGAGCGAGACACCCGTCTGGTATGGCACTCTGATGGAAATATGGTTTTAGACATCAAGGCAGCCAGTGCATCAAGTACCACGGGAACCAGAAAGCCCACTTCCCCTTGAGCGCGGGGCCCCGGATTCCGCTGGCGCACCACCGGGTGTTGTGCGATGGGAGTTGTTTGCGGGATCCCGGACTGCTAAGAGGAAACGACATCCCAGACGCTCGCGATTAATTTCGGGCCCTACCGCCAGGTTTTGAGACCCCCGAACACGAAAGGTTCAGGAGCCTCTTGGATAGTAGCCAACCAACTCCAGTTTCTTCTTTTGTTTTTTTGTAAGGCTGGCAAGCCCTTTCATGGAATCACCGAGAAAATGAACTCGCATCCATGTTTTTTGGGGGGTCAGCATGAGTCACTCTCTGAGACCAGGGGCAGCGGGCATCAAAGGTTTCATCCCCAATGAATAGATGAGAAGTTTCAGGGGATTGGCTAGGATGGATCTTTGGTGCATTTTGCCAACTAAGGGGGTTTCCGTATTAAACCACTAAAAGTTATTCACTTTTAGCAGGGCTTCGCAGAAAGCAACCGAGGGATGGCATGATGGCCATCAATTGTCTCTCCCCTTTCCCTTTCAACAAAAACTGGTTCCTTTCGCGAAAAGCACCGAGATCGATCCGATCCGTTGGGTTGTATGGGATTCGGGTGGCAAGCCCTGGGTTCCCATAGTAACAACTGGATTCACTGCCGGTAAAGGGAACCCCCCCCCCCCCAGAGATGAGATTCCGGGGGAGAGAGACCAGAACATAGAAGAGTCTCATTTGTACCATCATGTTCTTGGGGCGGTCAACCTGGTAAGGGTCCTCAATGAAGGTTACAATGAGTCCGATACATCTACGAATTGATTCCCATTCTTTTCAACCTTGCTTTTCAAAAACCCAGCTGTTTCCCCTGGGTGTTTCATGGATTCTGTACAAAAAGGATGGAAAGAACTGGAAAGCTTCCCCTAGAGCAAAGGGAACCATGACCGTCAGCCAAAGAAACAGAGTTTTGTTGACCATGGCTCATATTGAGACGCAGGGCGCCTTGGGTTCCCCCCTCGCCTCCAGTTAAGCGCAAGCAAACCTGCGTGGTTTTTAGGGGGCCCCGGACTTTGTATAGGTATGGGTGAAAATGAAACCACCAGAAAACCGGAAACCGGTTTGTTACTCTGCAGTAGACATCATTTAGGTATGTCAATATTAAGCCGCCCGAAAACCGCAGGTTTGTTCGTCCTTGTTTCCATTTACCGATCGGGCAGCCCATTTTGGGGCGCCCCGATTGGGGGCTCATGTCCAGCACCAGTACTGAAGTTGGAAAAACAGGTGGGCGATTCCATTTCTCTAAGAGTAGCTTGCATTTCCATTCAATCCAGGGATCCGAATCTTTCTAGACCACCAAAACCCTGGGAAAACAGATCCGGTTTTGAAAAGAACGATGGTTGAAAAGAATGGAAAAGGAAGCAACCCGTAGATATTCCAAAAGCATGCACCTGTTTTGATACGCACCCCTGTGAGTGTTGACCCCGGATAAATATAACCCAACCTTTTTGTTGGGAAGAAGGTGTTCCCCTTCAAACGTCTTTGTTTCGCCGCTAAACGCGGACACCCTCTTACTCGCCCAGCGGGCCCCATATTCTCTCACCCGCCAGAAACATTCAGCGAGAGTCTCGCGCGCGCGCGCGCCAGGTGTGCTCCTCTCAGGGGGCGCTTTGATCTCCGCCTTGATGTCCATGCAGGCGCTTCGCCTCGCCTCTGGATGCCTGGGGATCCGATCTCTGCCGAGTTTTTAGTTACCCCCAGTTGCCCAGTGGTGCCCTTTCTTCAACCTTTTTTTGGAGGAAGGGCTCCGATTCCTTGAAAGTGAAATTAACAACAACAAAGAAAGGGCGCCCTTTTTTTCCCGTGGCCACTGGGCATGTCATGTGAGTTACGCGAGCTCTCTTTCCGATTCGGAGTAGAAGGAGCGCAGGCCATGAAGGTTTCAGCTGTTTGAATTACTAGGTCCCCCAGTAGTGCCCTTTGGGGGAGGGTTCCCCTACTAAAATTCACTACAGAAAATGGGTACCCTTATTCTAACCTCTCTACTGGAGGACCTGTAATTCAGCCGTTTGAATGATAGTGCGAATTGAAAAGATCCCATCCTTGAGTTCCGTTTCGGACTGAAGGTCGCTTTAGTCTGCCTGAACCTTCAAACCCAGCAAAATGGGAAGTCACCCCATCCTGTTGGGGTGCAGGATCTCATTGCTTCAGTTGGTAATTATTTGGAGGCCGGCTTTGTTTCGCGAATCCACTTAGGAAGTGAGCTTCTATGCTCGCTAGTTTTGGAGCAGAAGTTGGACGTGATCAATAGCAAACAGGCTTAAATCTTCTCTGCCGCCACTGCAACCACCAGGGAAGCTACGGTCGTATGGTTTTACCCGTGTATATATATATATATATACACATGTAGATATGTACATGCATGCATTCATGCATTGTTATGATAGTTGTTTACACGCATACGTGCAAGTGTGTGTGTGTGTGTGCTTTTTTAGGGATCCCCAAATGGTGGTTTTCCTTTTGGTGTCGCTTTAAGACCGATCAGAAGCTCCCCAAAAAAAGAAGAGAAAACAATGCAAAAACCGCAAGACAGACCCATTCACAGAGATTCTCTTACATACATTTCAGATGCTCATGGACCCTCCCAAGTGGGATCCAAGCGGTCGTCTGGGGGCTGGCGTACATACGCACGTGTATACTATATATATATACATGTATATTAGTAATTTAGTTGTTATATTATATATATACATGTATATTAGTAATTTAGTTGTTATATGTATTTAGTTGAGTATGTCTTTATTTAAGTCTCTGTAGTTATTTAATCAAATACGTAATCATAATATATATATATAGTGGACATACATGACAGCTATATACATATAGATACACATGTCCATGCGGTTTCAGGCGCTGATCCAAGCCTCCTGCGACCCAGCGCTCTGTGGGATCTGCGCGCTGGTCTTCTCCATCAGCGCGGTGTACATGGCCAGCACCGACTGGCGCCGGGGCAGTAGACATCTTTGGCGAGTTCCTGGATGCTCACTTGCGGCTGGTTCCAAGACCCTCAATAAAGATCGGCTGTAGCCCCCCGGCCCCAAAAAAATCGCAAACATGGGGCAAGTGGTTTTGCCTCAAAGGCAAAAGGGCGACTTTGCGACCACGCGGGCCAAAATTTCCCGAGATCAACAAGGGGCTGAATCAACTTTCTGGAATCAAGCCCTGCTTTTTTTCAAGACGTCTTTGGCACCCCGAGGCTCCTGGCTTCGGTTTTCGTCTGCTTTCACCCTAATACAGGATTTTGAACCCATTTGATCCCATTTGCCGGGATTTGCTAGGTGCCCTTTCTCCACCAACTGGTCTTGGGGGAGGAGCTTTCCATTGGGGAGATGTCGCGATTTTACGGACCTCGGGAGGGTTCCATTCCCAGGCCACACCCTGCTTTGGAAGGTCCTGTTCAGCTGCTTGAATGACGGGCCGTCCCCCAGCAAGCGGTGCCAACTTGTCTCACCGTTTCGTTCTTTGGGTTGGGAGGGCTCCGAACCCTACGAAAATTTAGGCTACAGGAACAAGTTGATACCCTCATTCTGACCTCTCTACTGGAGGACCCAAACGTTTGGCAATGAGTTCCTTCCCAGGCTCCTGGCCTCGGGTTTTCAATGGAAGACCCGACCATTGGACACCTCGCTTCGGTGTTTGGGGGTCCAGGATCTTTAGACCTAAATGAGTCGAGGTGTACTCCGCAGATTCCGGAAGCCGAAAAAGGTTCCCAAGGAGGTTCCTCTATCAGGGTTACCTTGCTGGTGCGACAAGCAAGGAATGAGGAAATGACCTGTTATAGTCCATCCTTTGTGGTTTCCTTTTCGGGACCCCCACTGAGCACCAGCAAGTTCCCAGCCATTTCACTTGAAGCCTCCAAAGGTGGTGATCGAAGTAAAATGGAACCCACCTGCGCATTGACCAAATTTCGATTTGGGGAAATCCAGTGGCCCGTGTTCCCACCCCCTTGTTGGATCGTTTAGACAACTTTTTGGTTGAAATCAAGTTGATTTGGACTTGACTTGGTGGGAACCCTGGCCATCCGGTGCCCGGCCTATCCCCAGCCCCTCAATGGAATTGGGACCCTGGATATCTCCATGGCAACCGCTTGTTCCTTTCGGGGTTTGATGGTTCCATTTTAAAGGACCTCTTCGGTATCCTCAAACACGGCCATTTCGACCCCTGGAATTCTTGGTTCCATGTTTGTCCTTTGGGTGTGATGGCTCCATGTTTTAGAACGACCTGTTTGGTATCTCCTCAAAGGCGGATCTTTGTTCAGGTCTGGTGTTAGACATACTCAGAACGAAGATGTTACACCGCCCTTATATACGTGGTCCATAACCTCGGTCCTTGTCCCAGCTCCGAAAGAAAGAAAAGGCATGTTCAGGTCTGGTGTTAGACATACTCAGAACGAAGATGTTACACCGCCCTTATATACGTGGTCCATAACCTCGGTCCTTGTCCCAGCTCCGAAAGAAAGAAAAGGCATGTTCAGGTCTGGTGTTAGACATACTCAGAACGAAGATGTTACACGCCCTTGTATACGTGGTCCATAACCTCGGTCCTTGTCCCAGCTCCGAAAGAAAGAAAAGGCATGTTCAGGTCTGGTGTTAGACATACTCAGAACGAAGATGTTACATCGCCCTTGTATACGTGGTCCATAACCTCGGTCCTTGTCCCAGCTCCGAAAGAAAGAAAAGGCATGTTCAGGTCTGGTGTTAGACATACTCAGAACGAAGATGTTACATCGCCCTTGTATACGTGTCCATAACCTCGGTCCTTGTCCCAGCTCCGAAAGAAAGAAAAGGCATGTTCAGGTCTGGTGTTAGACATACTCAGAACGAAGATGTTACATCGCCCTTGTATACGTGTCCATAACCTCGGTCCTTGTCCCAGCTCCGAAAGAAAGAAAAGGCATGTTCAGGTCTGGTGTTAGACATACTCAGAACGAAGATGTTACATCGCCCTTGTATACGTGTCCATAACCTCGGTCCTTGTCCCAGCTCCGAAAGAAAGAAAAGGCATGTTCAGGTCTGGTGTTAGACATACTCAGAACGAAGATGTTACATCGCCCTTGTATACGTGGTCCATAACCTCGGTCCTTGTCCCAGCTCCGAAAGAAAGAAAAGGCATGTTCAGGTCTGGTGTTAGACATACTCAGAACGAAGATGTTACATCGCCCTTGTATACGTGGTCCATAACCTCGGTCCTTGTCCCAGCTCCGAAAGAAAGAAAAGGCATGTTCTGGTCTGGTGTTAGACATACTCAGAACGAAGATGTTACATCGCCCTTGTATACGTGGTCCATAACCTCGGTCCTTGTCCCAGCTCCGAAAGAAAGAAAAGGCATGTTCTGGTCTGGTGTTAGACATACTCAGAACGAAGATGTTACATCGCCCTTGTATACGTGGTCCATAACCTCGGTCCTTGTCCCAGCTCCGAAAGAAAGAAAAGGCATGTTCAGGTCTGGTGTTAGACATACTCAGAACGAAGATGTTACATCGCCCTTGTATACGTGGTCCATAACCTCGGTCCTTGTCCCAGCTCCGAAAGAAAGAAAAGGCATGTTCAGGTCTGGTGTTAGACATACTCAGAACGAAGATGTTACATCGCCCTTGTATACGTGGTCCATAACCTCGGTCCTTGTCCCAGCTCCGAAAGAAAGAAAAGGCAAAACCCTCTCTAAAATGGAACTTACAGGTGGTTTCCCCTTCTTCTTCTTTTTTTTGGGGGGGGGTCCAAGAAGGGAAACTGAGGAAACCCTATTCCCCCCCCCTCCAAAGCAGAATTCCTGCCAGCCCTGAAAAGCAGAGCAAGTTTTAGAGCTACAGCTGCAACTAAAACTAGCATGTCTGCGATTTTCCTCTTAAAAACCGCCACAGTTGAAGGTTCCAAAAACGGAAATGGCTCGAACACCCTGTTTTATGGTTCTTGGTTTCCCTCAAGACCACAAACAAACTGGCACCCCAAAAACGGTTGGTGTTCAGAAATTCCCACAGACCAGTTCCGTTCGCAGCTCACCCCACCAAAAAATCCCACCAAAAAACCCTACCCCACCCTACCCCACCCTACCCCACCCCACCCCACCCCACCCCATACCCAGACGGCTCTCGCGCACTCTGAGGCGCACCTCTCCGGAGATCCATTTCGACCTGAGCCAAGACTTCTCCCCCGCGAGCCCGCTGGTGTCCGCGGCGGTGTGGTGGGTCCTGGTCTTCAGCCCCTCGGAACGGGAACTCAGCTGGGTAGTCGCCATTCTTCTCCAAGGTCCCCAGCGAAGTGCCAACTTTTACCGTTTCTTTTGTGGGGGGAGGGGTCCCCTACTAAAATAGACTACAAACAAAATGGTACCCTTAGTCTAACCTCTCCACCGGAGGACTTAGTCTCGCTTGAAAAACAGGGAATCCACCCCAGATTCTTTGGGGCAGCCATTCTTGAGTAACCTCACTAGGGCCTTTCACTCAAAAAGGTACCCCTTTTGTGGTGGTTTTGAATGGACATTCCTGGATAGCCAAGTTGCGATCGCTTTTTTCAGTCACAGTTGCGATCGGTTTTTGGGGTAAAGTGAATGCCAAAAACACAGAGCAACTTGCGATGCAGGTTGTTGTTTTCATGATACCCTGGACCCTCAGCCATTCGGCAACAGAAGGGCGTTTGAGGGCGGCCCCTACCCTAAGGGCCCGATCGGGGATCTTGGTATTTAAGGGCTGCCGCCCAGTGCCGCCGACCCCTCCGCTGGGGGCCAGCCCAGGTTTTTTTTTGTTCTGGCAGCGGCTTTTGGCTGGTTCTGGCTTGCTGGCTTGCTCGCTCGCTTGCTTGTTTGCTTGTTTTCAGCGCTTTTCCAGGCCGCGCTCGTTTGCCCACAGCGAGCACCAACCAAAGGAGTGCTATATGGAAAGTAGACAGCAATCGGTCCCCAGGGCGCAACCAGCAAGAACAGCTTCGCGTCCAGCGCGCTTGGAGGCCGCACTCGCTGCGCTGCAGCGAGCACGAACCAAAGGAGTGCGCCGGCAGCCTGCTCCGCCGCGGCCGAGTGCCTAACGTCGCATTTGAGCCCAACATGCAGCAAAGCTATCGGTGCAGAGGGAGCGGCCAGCCACAAAAGCTTCGCTTCCCGCGCTTTTCCAGGCCGCACTCGTTTGTCCACAGCGAGCGCCAACCAAAGGTGTGCGCCGGCAGCAGAAAGGAAAAGGAAAGAAACCAAAGGAGTGCGCAGAAAAGGAGAAAAAGGAAGAAAAAAGGCCGTACGGGCGGGCCGCGAGAGAGCTTCAGCGCTGAAAGCTGTGCCCTGCAGGTGTTCGAGCGCTGTTTTAGGCCGCACTCGTTTGCCCCCCACAGCGAGCACCAACCAAAGGAGTGCGAAGACAGGCCGAACGGGCTGGCCGACAGAGCTTCAGCGCTGAAATCTGCGGCCAGCAGGTGTTTGAGCACTCTCGGCCTTCTCAGCTCAGGGGTAGTTGGTGTAGCGGCATCACACCCAGCATGTGAGAGGGCGGGCTCAATCCCCAGCCTGTCCATGCCCATGTGCGCCTGCGTCTGGGACAGTCTGCCGATCCCTGCTCTTCTTTCCTTTGGGTTTGCTGTGCGTCTTGCCAAGGGCGGCTGTTTCCACCGCGGCCGGGTGCCGAACGTCACTGTAGAATCCTATACAGAAGGTAGAAAGCTATCGGTCCCCAGGGCGCAAGCAGCAAGAACAGCTTCGCGTCCAGCGCGCTTGGAGGCCGCACTCCTTCGCCGCAGCGAGCACGAACCAAAGGAGTGCGCCGGCAGCCTGCTCCGCCGCGGCCGGGTGCCTAACGTCGCGGCTGAGTCCAATATGCAGCAAGGCTATCGGTCCGTCCAGCGGCCTCTTTTCGCTGTGGGCAAACGAGCGCGGCCTGGAAAAGCGCTCAAGCACCTGCAGGGCACAGTTTTCAGCGCTGAAGCTCTGTCACGGCCCGCTCGTCCGGCCTTTTTGCTTCCTTTCTGCTGCCGGCGCACTCCTTTGGTTGGTTCTCGCTGTGGGCAAAGGAGTGCGGGCCCGCCCGTTCGGCCTCTAGTCTTCCTTTCTCTTTCCTTTTCCTCTCTGCTGCCGGCGCAAGCGCGGGAAGCGAAGCTTTTGTGGCTGGCCGCTCCCTCTGGAACCGCTTCAGCGCTGAAACTAATGCGCAAGCAGGTATTTGAGTTTGTGACTCTCGGCCTGCTCACTCAGGGGCAGTTTGGTGTAGTGGTAATCACACCCCGCTCCCTAGAACACCGCAAGCAGCGAGAGGGCTGGGTTTCATTCCCCGGCCTGTCCATGCCCATGTGCGCCGCGTAGTCACAGTTTGCCTCTCCCTGGTCTTTCATCCCTTTGGGTTTGCTGTGCGTCTTGCCAGACCGGCTGGTACGCCGCGGCCGGGTGCCGAACGTCACTTTTGAATCCTATACAGAAGGTAGAAAGCTATCGGTCCCCAGGGCGCGACCAGCAAGAACAGCTTCGCGTCCAGCGCGCTTGGAGGCCGCACTCGCTTCGCCGCAGCGAGCACGAACCAAAGGAGTGCGCCGGCAGCCTGCTCCGCCGCGGCCGGGTGCCTAACGTCGCGTTTGAGTCCAATATGCAGCAAGGCTATCGGTCCGTCCAGCGGCCTCTTTTCGCTGTGGGCAAACGAGCGCGGCCTGGAAAAGCGCTCAAGCACCTGCAGGGCACAGTTTTCAGCGCTGAAGCTCTGTCACGGCCCGCTCGTCCGGCCTTTTTGCTTCCTTTCTGCTGCCGGCGCACTCCTTTGGTTGGTTCTCGCTGTGGGCAAAGGAGTGCGGGCCCGCCCGTTCGGCCTCTAGTCTTCCTTTCTGCTGCCGGCGCACTCCTTTGGTTTCTTTCCTTTTCCTCTCTGCTGCCGGCGCAAGCGCGGGAAGCGAAGCTTTTGTGGCTGCCGCTCCCGCTGGACCGCTTCAGCGCTGAAAAGCGAGGCGCAGCAGGGAAATTTGAGCACTTCGCCGGCGCATCCTCAGGGGCCGGTTGGTGTATGTATCACAACCCGCTCAGCATGCGAGAAGGGCGCGGGTTCAATCCCCGGCCTGTCCATGCCCATGTGCGCCTGCGTCTGTCACAGTTTGCCTCTCCCTGGTCTTTCATCCCTTTGGGTTTGCTGTGCGTCTTGCCAAGACCGGCTGGTACGCCGCGGCCGGGTGCCGAACGTCACTTTTGAATCCTATATAGAAAGTAGAAAGCTATCGGTCCCCAGGGCGCGACCAGCAAGAACAGCTTCGCGTCCAGCGCGCTTGGAGGCCGCACTCGCTTCGCCGCAGCGAGCACGAACCAAAGGAGTGCGCCGGCAGCCAGAAAGCTATCGGTCCCCAGGGCGCGACCAGCAAGAACAGCTTCGCGTCCAGCTCGCTCTCGCTTCGCCGCAGCGAGCACGAACCAAAGGAGTGCGCCGGCAGCCTGCTCCGCCGCGGCCGGGTGCCTAACGTCGCGTTTGAGTCCAATATGCAGCAAGGCTATCGGTCCGTCCAGCGGCCTCTTTTCGCTGTGGGCAAACGAGCGCGGCCTGGAAAAGCGCTCAAGCACCTGCAGGGCACAGTTTTCAGCGCTGAAGCTCTGTCACGGCCCGCTCGTCCGGCCTTTTTGCTTCCTTTCTGCTGCCGGCGCACTCCTTTGGTTGGTTCTCGCTGTGGGCAAAGGAGTGCGGGCCCGCCCGTTCGGCCTCTAGTCTTCCTTTCTGCTGCCGGCGCACTCCTTTGGTTTCTTTCCTTTTCCTCTCTGCTGCCGGCGCAAGCGCGGGAAGCGAAGCTTTTGTGGCTGGCCGCTCCCTCTGGACCGCTTCAGCGCTGAAAGCTATGCGCAGCAGGTATTTGAGCACTCTCGGCCTGCTCAGCTCAGGGGCAGTTGGTGTAGTGGTATCACACCCGCTCAGCATGCGAGAGGGGCTGGGTTCAATCCCCGGCCTGTCCATGCCCATGTGCGCCTGCGTCTGTCACAGTTTGCCTCTCCCTGGTCTTTCATCCCTTTGGGTTTGCTGTGCGTCTTGCCAAGACCGGCTGGTACGCCGCGGCCGGGTGCCGAACGTCACTTTTGAATCCTATATAGAAAGTAGAAAGCTATCGGTCCCCAGGGCGCGACCAGCAAGAACAGCTTCGCGTCCAGCGCGCTTGGAGGCCGCACTCGCTTCGCCGCAGCGAGCACGAACCAAAGGAGTGCGCCGGCAGCCTGCTCCGCCGCGGCCGGGTGCCTAACGTCGCGTTTGAGTCCAATATGCAGCAAGGCTATCGGTCCAGAGGGAGCGGCCAGCCACAAAAGCTTCGCTTCCCGCGCTTTTCCAGGCCGCACTCGTTTGTCTACAGCGAGCACCAACCAAAGGAGTGCGCCGGCAGCAGAAAGGAAAAGGAAAGAAAAGAAACGAAGAAGAACAAGAAAAAAGGGAAAGAAAGAAGGCTGGTAAGGTACAGGGCTGAACGGGCGAGGGCGAAAGGGAAGGGAGAAGGCTGCCACAGCCACGCTCCAACGCTAAACGAACACTCCCCCAGCGCCTTCCCCTTGCAGGCAGGGGGGTCGGCGGATATACCCCGGGGTGCCTGTACCACCCCCCTTTTCATATACACCTTAAGGCCCCAAATTTCCATGACAGCCCTTAGGGTACACACAATGCCCAATTTGGGTGCTCAGCAGAAGTTTGCAGGTGGGTTCCTTTCAGGGAACCCCTTAGTTCATTCCCGCCCTACTGAGCGGCAAGTTGTTCATACCCCTTGGCCTCCCTGGTTTCCAACCCACTTAAGCGGTATATAACTTCGGGAGATGAACATCTGGCCTTTTGGGGTCATTTGCCCAACAGGTATGTAAAATGTACAAGCACCCCTGGAAAGGGTTTTGGAGGCTACCCTGTAACCACACAGTACCAACTTTTTGTAGGGTATAATGTCGCCCAGTACTAAGAAAGGAGGCATTTAGCTTGCAAAGCCAGGTTTTCAAAACAAACAAAAACACAGGTATTTGGAGTAAGGGGGCACGGCTTTGGGGGGGTCCCGTATGTTTTGAGGTTCTTAGAAAAGGATACTGCCCCAGGCTGAATTTCCTTTTTTAAGGCCACTTTGAGGGTGGAGGTATGTTGGGGCGGTTTAAGAGGAATCCAATGGGAAAACACGATGTTTGGCGGGGCCCTATTTTAAGACATCCACCCAGTTTGCGGTTCGACCTTCAGTAGGCTGCAGTTTTCCACTTGTCCACTTTCTCTGGAGGCCTCCAAATTATACTCACTTCCCATCGAGTTCTTGGACTTTAGAAACACCTTTGGGTCGGAAGACCAGTTTAGTAGCAACAAGTGTGTTTGCTTTGTTTAGCCCATCCACTCAGTGAGTTTATGTCATCTGCCCTTGGAAGACTAGACAAATGGGAGGGACTCCAAACCTACTCACCGAATAGTTGGAACATCCAAGTAGACCCTAGACCCCAAAAGGACCCTACACACCGTGGCAAAAAGGCACCCAAGATCTCAAATGAGATTGAGTTTTCTTACCCCCTGAAAAAGAAAAGTAGTTGGAAGGGGGGGAGGGTGAAAGTGAACCCTGTTAGTTCCCCCCTACCTTCAGGAGAGGGGGGGAAATAGCTTCAAAATCCTGCTGGTTCTCACGGACAACTGCGATGGGTTACAAGCCAAAGTTGGAAACTTAGGGATTAAAGGCCCAAGTTCGGAAGAGGAGTGCTTTTCAACCCTCCAAATGCCCGATTGGAGTTTCTTCTTCTTTTTTGTGGGCCCGTGATTTAGCCATTCTCATATATTCACCCCCCCCCCCCCCATATGTCAGATCCAAGAGCCATGATGGCACGATGATTTTCATGTCGGTCACTCGTATCCAGAAGGAAATCGTCATCTACTTTAACCCTGCAAATACAGAACTCATTTGAGTATTGTAAGTTTGAGTCATCGGCTCTGTTTCCCCTGCGGTTCTGATGGTTTGCTGAAAAGAAGGATTCCTGGAAAGAATGGGGACGTGTCCCCTAGGATGATGTTGTTAGTCCTTTTCCTGGAATTCTCAAAGTCAAAAGCTGGCGGTGTGTTACTCCTTAAGGTCTCGAAACTCCTCGCCCAACAAATTGGAGCTACCCCCCAAACGGTTGGATCGAGTCGGATCGAGTCCCCCGTTTTAGTTTCCCCTTTGAAAGCTCACAGCAGGTCCTCAGTTGTTCAAAGCCGACCTTTTGACCTTTTGTTTTTCCGTTTTTGGTCCATTTTTAGTAGAGGACCCAAAAGGTTAACCTTTTATTTCCAGGTCCCTAAGGGGCAAGTGAGGGTCGTCGTCCTGGAAGGAAAGAAAGCGCAGGTCATGGGGTGGACTACTACCGCCGCCTCAGTGCCATCCAGGAAGGCGGGACCTGGGACGAGCGCGTCCACGGATTGACATCCCAGCTGCCCAGTGGAGCCCTTTTTTTGGGGGGAAGGGTTTTTCCTTGTTTTGGTAACCCTAACCATCATTGGGCCCGATCCGGTCGAACCGGGTCTCCATTGGTTTTGGTTGTGGACCTGAAAAAAGGTCCCGTTTGAGGGCCCAAGATGCTTTGGGAAGGGGTTCCCTTTACGGTTCCCTCTATCTCTACAATAACCCGAGCTTCCATTTGCTTAAGGTTGTTTTTTTTTAATGTTGCCCCGTTGGTTTTCGAGTTGAAATCAATTTCACTGCTGGACATATGCTTCATTTTTTCCAGGGGGCGAACACGCAAATGGAGGCTAGGCATCGGATGCTGTACGATCCAAAATGGGAGGGTGCAAAAACTCCTCTTAGCGGCTCCCGGCCGTTCGGTTCCTTAGCTTTCTAGCCTTTTCGGTTGGTTTCCGTGGTTGTTTCCATTCAACCCACTCAAAGTGGTCGACTGTCAGCAGAAAAGTCTGAGGGCAGCCCAGCAAAAATGACGGGCGCACACGAACTGCCTGGGTGTTGAGCCTGTTGCAAGTTGGAGACTTTGAGCGGGGGATCGATCGAAAACGGACTTTGCCCAGTCGGGTGTTTGTTGCCCGAATGTTTTCGGCCGCCCAGGGCAGTGAGTGAGTAGATCACCAACGATGTTCGTTTTTTGGCGTTCAAAGGGTGGTTCCTTTGGTTTATGTTTGTTTCCTTTGGGAAACTCCCAAGGAAGGAAAACCTGCACCCTCAAACTAACTACCCGTAAAAAAAGGGGGGGGGAAACACATAGTTCACCTAACCCAAATTTCAAGAACCAATGTTCAAGTTGGAACTTTGACGGTTCAGTTCTTGAACCTACCCCAGCTGGGTTGGTCTGGAGGGAGACTCCTTACTTGCACCCACAAAATACCCATCAAAAATAGGAAAATTAGTGCACCCCATAGTTCACCCGACAAAAGGAATACGTCATTCTAGGGGTTGGTTCCCCATTCTTTTCAACCATCGTTCTTTTCAAAAACCGGTGGTTTTCACTGAGTTTCTCAAGGTCTAGAAAGAAGGATCCCTGGAAAGAATGAAAATAGAAGGTACCCCTAGAGTTTGATGTTGCTTCCCTCCAAATTGTTTTAATGAAGTTTGGCTCCCCCCCGAAAAAAGGAACTTAATTCACCCCAGAATTCACCCGACAAAAGGAGCTCGTCATTACCCAGAGGCTCCAATTCGAGTCATTTAGGGCCCTCAACCGCCAGGTTTTGCCCCCAAACACCGGGTGTCCAATTCGGGCTCGGGTCTTGAAAACCGAAGCAAAGCGATCGATCGGAGCCTCTGGCTATTGTAATTTTGAGACATGCTCGGTTAGGATCATGATGTTGGTCCTTTTCTGGGATAAAGTCAGAAACTGGGATTTGCCCCTGATGTGCATTGGAGGGGTCATGACCCTTAGGGCGACCAACAGAATACTCAGTTGTTCAGCGGCACTTGTTCCCCTTTCTTTTTGCTGGCTGCCCCACTACAAGTGGTCTTCCCAAAGACTTCATTGTTTTTGGCCCAGGGTCACTGAACTCCTTGCCATTTTGGGCCGAGTTCTTTTTTTGAAGCCTCAGATCCGAGGGAGCAAACCAGGCCTGGCCGCGAGCCGCACCAACGCGGCGAGCTCGGAGATGGTCACGTGCCTTGGGCCAAAGCGCGGAGGAGGGGATCCCTGGAAGGAACCCAGAGATCGCCAAGCATAGGACCATATCGCAAGTAACGGCACATTCGGACATGGGCCCTCGAAAAGGCCTGATGCTTCGGGCAGTGTTCTTGGCGATTGAGTGTAGTTGGCTTGCCTCAAACATGGCAGCCCAGACCTTTACTGTTGCTAGTTCTTGGGGTAAAGTGGATGGAAAAAAGCAGCAACTGGCGATCCAGGCAATCCTTTTTTCCTGGAAAAAGTCAACCCAACCAGAAAAGGATGCCACCTGAATAGCCCAGTTGCGATGGCTTCTTTATCCGTCACTGTTGCGATCGGTTTTTTTGGGGGGGTTTTGAGTGCATGGGAAAGAAATCGAAAACGCCACTGGCGATTTTTGGTGGTTCTGTAGCGGTGGGCATCGAAAAGAGTTGATCTGTGAGGAGTCCGTCCGGGCTGGGGTGTTTCGTAGGGTTCGATTCGATTTTCCCTAGGGTCCATGAGCGTTTGGGGGCGGAATATCCCAGAAAACCGTCTGTCTAAGGATTCTAGGGATGAGTTGTATTTTTTTCTAGGGTTCCCCTTTTTGATGTTGTTTTCAAGGGAAACCAAAAAAGAACCAGCTGTCTTAGCGATAGAAAGCTGGTTTCCACCCCCTCAGCTCCTTCGCACAGTCAATCATTCAATCGCAACCTGGAGACTGGAAACACTTCATTAATCGCAACCTGAAAATTCATCTACCACCTCTCACAAAGGTCAATTTCGAAGGCCCAGAAGTGTAGTTGGCGGCATGTGTAGGGCTTAACCCATTCTACAGGGTAGTTTTGAGGGTCCGGGTGTCGGGTCCACAGTTCATCGGGGTTCAAAACACGAATCGGATCAGACAATTGGCGGTATTCCTGGTCTTCCTGTGTTAAAGCCGCTCGGAAAACCGGCAGCTTCAAAAAAAGGTGAACCACTCATTTGCCGACATGATGATTTTGGGCACGTGTTGGGCTACTGTTTTGCATCCATTGAGAAAGAACCCAAAAGGCTGCAAAGCTTGGACGTGGTTTGCACTCCCTGAGTTCCGTTTGGGATGAGTGAATCATTTGTTGGGTTTGGTTATCATTTTAGTGCTAAACGACTTTGGTTGCTTTGTTTGGCCAACTCACTCCATCGGAAGGGAGTAATTATGTCACCATATGTAGCCTGAACCGGTGCAGTCAATGCTATTTCGGGGGTCAGGGAGTCAGCTATGCCAAGCCTTGTAATTGACCCACAGAAAGGACGTCCCCGCATTTTGGCCAAAACCTTCCTGACGGTCGTGTTGGCCTATCCCAGTGATTTTCATGGTACCCATGCGTCACCAAGGTCTTCCCTTTAACAACCGGAAGGAACATGCTAAGATAGCCAAGTTGCTGTTTTTTTTTTCAATTGACTGCTGCTGATTTTTTGGGGTCGTGCATGGACACAAAAAACAGCAACTGGCGATCCAGGATGGATCGAAGGGTTGCCTATGAAGGTGAAACGGATTCCTGGGGGCTGCTGGGTCTGTGTAGACGACATGCCGTCGAGCTCGGCCGTGGCACTTGGGAAAAGGGAAGTTTGCGGAAAGGGGACCGAAACTAGGTTTTTCCAGTAGTGCCCTTTTACCCTTTTTTGGGTTGGAGAGTTCCCCTACTTCAATAGACTACAGAAAAACATCGGGTACCCTTGTTGTAACCTCTCTACTGGAGGACCTAGGAGAAGCATGGCTTTGGAGTTGTGGTAACTTACTACTTGGACCGAGCCTCAAGCTAGCCATGAAAAAGCAAAGGATTTGCCCCCCACCATAATTTTGGGCTGCAACTCAACCCCATGATCAAGTTGGTTTGAGGGTCCGGGCAAGTACCCGGTCCATTTCAGCCACTTCAACTCGAAGAAACCGTGCAATTCCCCGTGTTTGTGTGTTTTTCCAATGGGAACCACACAATACCTGCCTGGATCGCCAGTGGCGATCATTTTTTCCATGCACTTTACCCCCAAAAACCATCAACAGTGACTGAAAAAAGCGATCGAAACTTGACTATCCAGGTACCTTTTTTTCAGATGGTATGATGTCAAGCTTTTGCTAAAAGAGGGATCGTTGTATTTGCCCGATCGGTTGTCCTCAAAAAAGCAAAAATAGAAGGCTGGGTATTTGGAGCTTACGGGCTCAGCCCGACCAAAGCCCTTGGCTAAGGTCGCGCGCCCTTGCCAGGGGCATTTTGCTCGGTTCAACCAGCGAATCGTTCGATTCCAAACGTGTTTAGATCTTTTTAGTTGGTGCAAGGTGGCTGGGTCCCCACGCACTTTGCGGGCCTTCGAAAAATGGATATTCGAGGGCCCTGGGGTGTCCCTAAGAGGGGTTGGACCATGAGCGTCTGGGCACTAAAAGTTAAACTCTTAGGCGCATGTCAGCACCCTCGTGGGGATTTTTTTTTGCACGAGTTTCAACTCAGCCCCAAGATCTCTTGGCTGGGTGTGGTTTCATTTTTTACGATGGACCCCCCGACTCACCTCGCTTCCGGTGTTCCTGGACTTTTGCAACTTTTTGGGAAGACCATTTTAATTAGTGACATACAAACAGTTTGGGAGCTTTTGTTTGCCCATCCACTCGATCGGAAGTGACCCAAAGTTGAGTCTTATTTTTGCTTTCCTTTAACACCAGCCAAAAGGGGTAGCTCTTGCGTGGGCTAGGTCCCCCAGCTTCAGCCTTTGTTGGGTTGGAGGGTTCCCCTACTAAAATACACTACCCCCAAAAAAAATAAACAATCGGGTACCCTTATTCTAACCTCTCTACTGGAGGAGCTAGGAGTTGTAGTATCTTACTGCCTGGACCGAGCCTCAAGCTAGCCATAATCGGGCTGCAGGAGCTCACGTGGGCCTTCTGAGGTTCTTGCGTGGCACGGAGGATCGCGTGGCCGGCATCAGCGGGTGCCAAGAAGGCGGCTGAGCGTCCGAGACGGGCAGAAAACATCTGGCCGTGGGTGAAAGCCGTTTTGGGATGCCATTTTGGGGTACCCGGATAGCCAAGTTGCTGTTTTTTTCCAGTCACTGTTGCTGGTTTTGGGGGTAAAGTGTATGGAAAAAAAGCGATCGCAACTGGCGATCCAGGTAGGTGAAATCACCAGCCATTTTAGAACCGGGATTTCTCTTGCGGGGGTTAGGATGTTCACTGGGGCTGCGATTTGGATTTTCCCAAAGGGTCATGACCCCGGGACCCAATGCACACCCCAGCAGTTTTTAATGGAGAACCCGCTTGGCGACCAATTCCTCAAGAAAGAAAGCAACCCATTGTCAGGGCCCAAAAGTCTTCGGGAAGACATTTATAGTGTCAAATGTCAACTCCGGTAGAAGGCCCAGGGAGTGGGGAGCCTTTAGTATGGCAGCAAGTCCCCTAGTGGGGGAGCCCCTCCAAATCCATTGGGCATGGCAACCTCAATACCTGTGGTCTTTCAGACCGGTGTTGTTTCCTTTACTTGGGGTGAGCCATGGGCTGTAGAACCAGGGAAGTACCCAAACCACCAATCCAAACGGGTTCACCAAGCAAAAGTGGGCTCCTCAATTCCCCAGAGGGGACCCCCCCATCTCTCAAAATCAACCAGAGGTTCTACTTAGATCTGGGGCTCCCATTGCACATGGATCAGCCTTTGGCAAGTAGGTTACCAAGGTTATACCTGGTTGGTAACTGGGGTTTGACTTCTGGGTATAACCTACTTCCCTGAGGAAGGCAACGAACATCCAACAGGTGCAACTCTTGTCTCTTCTGCTGGAAATCCATGTCTCAGGTTTCTCCCACCCGCGTTTCGTAGAACCGGTCCTATGAATCTGGTGTCAACATCCGACAGAGATCCGATGCAACCCTTGAGGACTCCTTGTTCGGTTTACGTAGATGCTCCACCTACTGTGGATGGTTGCGAAATCCATTTCGCACCACCTAAGAAGCCCTGGAATGTTTGGATTCCCCTGTAAAATACCGTAACAACCGTTATGGTTTTCCATGGTGTCAAGGTGCTGAGGATTTCGTCCATCCACAGTATCACCACCCTAGGTTCTTTTGCAAAAATGAGTTCGTTCAACCTATGAACCAGGATGGTCCAAGTATTCCCGAGTTCATGGGCTTGAGTCACCTGTTGGGTCTGGACCATGGGCGGCAAAGGAACCGTTTGGTGACCATTTTGGGGGCAAGGTAGAGAGATGAAGACAAGAGATGGCATTCCTTCCTATGCCTTGTCTGCAGACGAGAAATAGAATGAGACAAGGCAAGGAGGAAGAGTGGGAAGGATAAGAAATGAGCTCGGATCGTCTCCCGCGAAACCGCCGCAGGCAACTCCGCGGAGACCTCAGCGCCGGAGGACGCCGCGGCGTTGCCGGGGCTAGGCGGCGAGGCGGCGCCGCCGCTGGCGGTGGCGGTGGTGCGCCACGCGGAGCGTGCGGATTCCCACGAGGTGAGGCGTCGACGGGTTTCGCGGGAAAAACATCTAAAACCATGATGTTGTTGGGTTGCAATCCCCCGCTTTTAAGTTGGCATTTTGAGGGCCCAGGTACCTTCCAAAACAGGCAAACCCATTTGAAGTAGGAATCTAGGAGTTGATTCCTTGTCCATTCTTTTCAGCCATCATTATTTTCAAAAGCCGATCACCGTTTCCCCAGGGTTTTGGGCGGTTTTTTAGAAAGAAGGATCCCTGGAAAGAATGGAGAAGTTACCTCTAGAAAAATGGGGGGGGGGGGGGAAGGGAGGGGAGGGCGACGATTGAGATCCAGAAGAATTCCTTGCTGGGAGCACGTGATCATGAACCAAGACTAAGGGAAGATCTCTTTCTTGGATGTTCAAGCTGGGGGAACTGGGGTTAGTTGGCTTATCCAGGGAAAAAAAGACCTGAGAAGGCTGAAGATGGTTGGGTGCATATTGGACCATTGTTGAATCGACCACCATTGTTTACCGTGCAGGATTGTCGGCTTGCGGGATTTCACCCACCATAATTTTGGGTGGCTATACCCCATTTCAAGTTGGGCTTTGGCGGGTTCAGGTGGGTGGTGTTTGGGGGCACTGCTGTTTTGGTGGTGCCTCGCTTCTCCAACATACCTTTCGGCCGACCCTCGTATCGGATTTCCTTGCCTCACCCCCTGAGCTCATGGACTTTAAGACTTGAAGCTTTTTGGGTCTGGGCCCTTTGGGCGGCTAACGAAAAGTTTGGTGCTCCTCAAGAAGTGAGTTAATTACGCGTCCCGGAGAATGCTCAAAAGCGTATGTAGGAAAGTCCTTGGATTCATGCTTAGCTACTTGTGATATAGTTCGCTTGGCTTTGCTTTGGAAACCTTTGAACAACCAATCACAAATAGCTTTGGTCTTGCTGCCTATGTCTTCTCCTCGTAATTCTCCAAATCCCCCCGTCATTGTTAGGTGGTTGCCTTTGGTGTTCAAAAAGCGGAAAGAGATGACAAGATATAGAAGCCGCGAAGCCTCAAATCTCAGGAGAAAACCACAACTGGGAGCCCCCAAACCCGAAGTTAAACCTCAAACTCAACAAAAGTTATTTGCTAGATCGCCAGTTGCTGCTTTCAAAAAGTTCCATCCACTCAACCACAAAAATGAATGCCCGAGGCATCATCGGGCCTTTTTGAGGGCCCAAGGTGTCCGAATGTTGCCCCCTTACTTGCGATATGGTCCTCGGGGCGTCCAATTACCCCAAAAACCAGCAACGGTGACTGAACTAAACGGCAACTTGGTTATCTAGGTTGCTGGTTCGCCGAGCTTGGACTGGATCCTTCAAGGGATCTATGCTGGAGAAATTTGCGCCAATCGGGACCATTTGTTGTTTTGTGCATAATTTGGTGCAGGCATTCGTAAAGGGAGCCTTTCAACACCAACAGGAAGATTGCTGCCTGGACCCTCAAAATTTCTTCATGGGTCATTGGGGCCCGAAATACTTGTTGGTGAATTCCGTTCAAGTGTAGTTTGAGGGTCTTATTGCGACAAATTCTGTTTGGTGAACTCCGACCTGTTTTAAAAGTTGGCAGTTGTTCCGGGCACCTACTGCAGAAGTGCTGGTCACCTCCCCTGGGGTGCTTCCTGGGGTGCTATAAGTGGCGAAACGAAACGCCTTGAGTCCAGGTACAGACAATTCTGCAGCTGAATTCAACTTAGTGTTGGGGGAGGGGGGTATTTGGAAATACCGTAGTTTCCACTAGCAAAAAAGCCTCCCCAAGGCTCAGGACCCCGCGATGCACACGCCATAGGTCCCACAGAGCGGTGCTTAAACAGTTTGGAAAAAGCAACTCCAAACAAGTCGATTCGGAGCCGACCCACCTTGCTCAACTAGGTCCTCCAGATTTGAGAGATTAGAATAAGGGTACCCTTTTTCTGTGTCTATTTTAGTAGGGGAACCCTCCCCCAAAATAGGGTAAAAGGGCAGGGACCTAGTCAAGACATTTTGTGGAAGAGTCCGCTCTTTTCCAGTCCTCTTTTTGTTGGTGAAGAGTCGACGAGGTACCTCTTGGAAAAATGGGTATTGTGAAGGGGGCCCGTTTTGCGCATCAAATTAAGACTCACTTTCTGAGTGGATGGGCCAACAGTAATAACCACGCTTTTCATTTGCCACTACAATGGGCCCTTGGTTGTTTGATGGTTTCAACTGAGGTGTTTGGTGATTCCCTGATTGGGAGCTCCCGGGGCAGAACCATCCACTCGCTTTTTGGCTTCGCCTCACTTCGCATGAATCGAAGGCCTTCGACGCCTGGTGCACCGCGGAGGATGCCGAGCAGCACCCGCTGGATCCACCCATCACGCCGCTCGGAAAAATCGCGGGAGTTCGCCTGGGGATAGGTGTTGGTCCCTACTTGCACGTTCGGCCAAGCTAGTAATGTCCACCTCTGATTAATAAACAGGGGGCCCCCCCGAATGACCCTAAATAAAGTTAAGGGGGAATGTTCAGGGTCAGGCACAGTTTAGAATGTGTTTAGTATTGGGCTCTGTTTTTTGGTTTTCGAATTATTGGGCATGTTGTTGCTTTCTTATTTTGCTTTGGGGGAATACTAGTTTAGAGTTGGGCCAATTCTAAAGTAGTATTGGGCCAAGAACTTTTGCATCAGTGGGAATCAGCTTAGCTTTACTTAGGGTCAGGAATTATTTAGTGCATGAGGCTTCATGGGGGGTAGCCTTGCTGGCAGGGTCAACTTGTGATCGTTGAAGGTTTCCAGATAAAGAGTTTGATGAAGGGAATCACTCAATAATTTTGGGATCTGATGGAATTGTTTCTTTTTGATGAGCCAGCTTGAATGGACAGTTTGCCCCTGAATAAAGATACAGAAGGGATCAGAGCAATTTTTGGACCAGTGCAAATCGGCTTAGCTTTATTTAGGGTCAGGAATTATTTAGTGCATGAGGCTTCATGGGGGGTAGCCTTGCTGGCAGGGTCAAGTTGTGATTGTTCAGGGTTTCCAGATAAAGATTTTGATGAATTTTGGGATCTGCTGGAACCGGAATCATTTTTTGATGAGCCAGCTTGAATGGAAAGCTTGCTCTGAACTGCAACCCGAACTTCTGGTTGGTCAATGAATTCCAACTTCTAGAAGTTAGTTCTCTCGCGCCCAGATTACCTAGAGCAATACATTTTTCAGCTGTTGTGGTGGATGCTTTGCCGTATGGTAAGGGACCAAGGGGAACCCCTGCAAATTCAACAATGCTTGGTGGTTGGTTTACTTGCAATATACATATTATATATATATATACTATACATATTATGTTTTTGGGTATTATAAATATATATATATATATATATTCATTGTATGTATACAAAAAATGTGTATATTGCGCATCCGCCGTATTTTCAAGCTCCCCGGTCGTGGGCGCCCAACAAACCACCCCCCACCTGGCCGCGAACCCGAGAAGCCGTCGCTGGAGGAAGCAGGGGCTGCTGCAGGCGCAAGAGCTTGCGGAGGCGCTGTCCCGGCAGAAGGTGGAGTTCCAGGCGAAGATGGGCGAAAATGTCTGCCTACCCTACTCCCTGCCTCTGACTTCAGACATGGACCCTCAAACTACCCCCCAAAAAAATGGATTTGTGCTGCCCCCTGCGGTAAATGGGGCATGTAAATGGTTTCTGTAAATACAATCGAATCTGAACCAGTGCAACCCATCTATTCCGTAATGTTGACCCCATATTCATCAACCCCTGCGTAGCAACAGGGAGGTGTTCGTTGCCGACAACTTGTGTTGCCCCCTAATGTTGCCCCTCAAGAAGTGAGTTACAAGCTCCGGAGAATGCTCAAAAAGGTTTGTGGAGGGTCCTTGGATTTATGTTTCGCTATGTGTTGCACCCAGTTCGCTTTGAGGAAACCTCTGAAACAGCAATCACAAATGCTGTGGTCTTGCTGCCCATATCTTCTATGTCCTCCAAATTCTGGTTGCCTTTGGTGTTCCTTTACGAAGCCTCGACCAAGCGGAAAGAGATGACAAGAGATACAGAAACCCAGAAGCCCCGAACTTCCCCAAACCTGAAGTCAAACCACAAGAAAAAGCTGCCTACCATGGACGAAATCCATTTCGCACCACGAATGAAACCACGAATGAAACCATTGCGTTTGTTGTACAGGGGAATCATCAGAAGCCAGGGTTGCTTGGGTGGTGCGAAATGGATTTCGTCCACCCACAGTTCGGGTCCGGGGCTTGGCATGTTGCGTGTACCACACCCGAGTTGCTCTAACTCGGGGTGTGAAAAGGACATAGTCTGAGGATTTCCCCAAATTCCATCGATCGGACCCTGAAGATACTACCCGCTTTTTTTTAGTTGCCCTAAGTCCCCAAGTCATGACCCCTGCAACGCAGACCCCCGGAACCTCCAATGTAGAACCCCGACTCAATGGCCCGAAAGAAAACAACCCATTTTGAGGGTTTGCCCAAAATCGCTCGAATCGGGACCCTTAAGCTAATATATGCTCAGCATTCCCCTGAAACACGCCAACCTGGATCGCCAGTTGCTGTGTTCTTTTCCCCATGCACTTTACCCCCAAAACCGATCGCAACAGTGACTCAAGAAAGCGATCGCAACTTGGCTATCTAGCAGAAAAGAGTTGCTGCCCTTATTCTAACCTCTCTACAGCAGCTCGTGGGCCTGAGGTTCTTGCGTGGCTAGGAGCTTTCTGCTAGACCCACCCGGGCTGTTGAGCAACCCGGGCTCCAAACGGCACGGCTCCCGGCACGGCTCCCGCCCGGCAGCCCGAGCGGATCCGAGCGGATCAGGTGGTGATCTCGTCCCCGTTTCTGCGGTGCCTGCAGACGGCCACGGTGCTGGCGGAGCATTTCAACGCCTCCATCCTCTTGGACCAAGAGCTCTGCGGCTGAGCTGCCGAAGAAGCTGGTGGGTGAACCGGTTGCTTATCAAAAACCACGGTTTTCCGAGACAAACAACATGTTTTGCTTTAAACACAAAAATATGTACAAAGTCTTCAAGAGAGCCTGATGGTTGAACCTCCTGGATAGCCAAGTTGAATTGTTGTTTTTTGTGTCAGTCACTGTTGCGATCGGTGTTTGGGGTGTTGAGTGAATGGGAAAAAAGAGCAGCAACTGGCGATCCAGGCTGTTGCTCACCAAAAACCACGGTTTTCCTGACAAAAACATGGTTTTGCTTTTTAAAACCCGTGCAAAGTCATGCAACACCCTTTTTGAGGACCCGTTTGATGCCTCCGGCAACCCACCAGGCCTGGAACTAAGCCATGGGCTTCAAGACGAGGAGAAGGGCTCAAGTTCCATGGGGTTTTCGGCTGGGTGTTGGGTGGGCCACTCTGAAACGAAATATGCACCCCAAATACCCACGAATTTCAGATGGTATAGGATATGATGTTGATCATCGGTATTTACCCTGGACAAAACGTAAAACAAATTGCGGGCAAAAAGACGGCCATTTCAAGCATACGGGGGGTCTTCAAGTGTGTTCAGGATCGGTAGGGCTCTTAGATCACTTGCTGAGTTCGTTACGGACGAGTGAGTCACTTTTTGGGTTTGGAGCATTGTCTTACTCGAACTTTTGATCTTTTCGTTTGCTCCTTTTGGTCCATGGATAGAAACGGCTAACCGTCTATTTCTGGGTCCTTTGGGCTCGGAGTTTTTGGCTGACAAAAAGTTCGGGAGCGGTTTTTTTGGGGCCATCCACGCAGGAAGGGAGTCAGAATCGTTTGAGGCTTGTTCTTGGGTTGCGTCCTTTGCGATGCTGTGTGCGAATGTGCAAAAAAAAGGGCAGGAAAGTATGGGGGAGTTACCGTCAGAATGGTGTAGTCATGTGTATGAACAATAATAATCACAAATGGTTTAAACAAAGAGTAAACACAATTATGAACGTATGCATATATATATATATACGTATCACAGCTCTCTCCTCCCTATAACAAGTGCAGAGATATTTCAGCCAGCCAACATGAAGCCGAGCACCTGAACCCTCAAAACTCCCTGCCTTAAACATGGGTAAGAGCAACCCACAATTCGGGTTCGTGAAATCCTGATGTTTATGGGTTTATGGGGTGAAGTCCCGTTTTTAAGTTGGTAGTTTCAGGGAGGAAGTCACGTGCCATTCACATCGCGTCGCGGCAAACCGAAATTTCCAAGGCGAGGTACTGGGCCCCGACGTCTACGAGGTCGAGCCACCCGAGGCGACTCGCTTCGGGGTTTTGGTCAAAAGAGGCTTTGTGACCCAACTGAAGAATGGGTGGTGAGTTGTAACCCAAAACATTCTGATAGGTGAAGTGCCACTTTCTATGCAGTTTGTGGCGAAACACAAAAAGCGTTCTGACCATGTCAGCCGACCGACTTACTTGGGGTTAGGGTTAGTCATGAACCCTTTAGTAGGGTTGTATGGATTTCTATGCACCTGGACCCTCAAAATACCAATTTGAAAATGGGGTGAGTTGCAACCCAGAAATTATGATAGGTGAATTGCAACTGTGTATGTAGTTTGCGGGTCCAGGTAGAACTTCCCCCTACCCGACTTCTTTCGGACCCTCAAGTCAAAACAAGTTGTGTCAAATTGAGGGCCCGTCGAGGTGTAGAGATTCTCCATCGGGCCAGTGATGCTCTCAAAGTATCCAACAGCTCCATTACGTTGATGATTTGGGTGTGTCTTTTTTTGAGGTTGGACCCCTCCGTTTGGGGTTGGGGGGGGTTTAGGGGGCTTGGGGCGTTGGGTTGGATCCTGCACCAACCAGGTAAGTGGTTGTTTTTGGTGCGCTTCGGATTTGGTCCAGCGGATGGCAATCCCTACCCTCCAAACCGGATTCCAAGCCGCAGGGTGAAGCTGATTTTACCTCACTCCCCGAGTTGGACTTTACACTTTTGGAATTTGGAAGATTTTGGTGCCCAGAGGCTCCAATTCGATGCATTTAGGGCCCTCATTAGCCGCCAGGTTTTGAGACTCCCAAACACCGGTGAGTGGGGTGTGCAATGGAGGGGTCTTTCATTGAACGCCGAAGCCAGGAGCCTCTGGGGGTAAATAAAAAGCTGGGGGACTTCTTCTGGCCCATCCACTCAGATCAGGAGCTGATTTTGTACGGATATGTCCATCCACGACGAGTCGATTTCGCCTGATCTCAGGTGCCATGGAGAGCCGTGGCAAAGATGAAGAGCCTTCTGCAGGCTCGGCGCCGAGTCGATGGATGGGAAGAGGCGAGGAACCAAAGGGAAAGAAAGGTTTTCTTGGATTTCCCCTCTCCACCCCTGGACCCGGAAAACTGCCTGATTGCCCCAAAACATTGGTAAATTGCAGTTTTTATGGGCAGTTTCAGGGTGCAGGTACTGAAAAGCAAACAGTGTGGTTACTTTTTTAGGCCAAGGAAGTGAGACTATGGCAACTGGAAGCACTGGGTAAGGGACACGTGACCGAATCAGCTTGGGATCCTCGTGGTTTCAGGCAAACCTGGATCGCCAAGTTACTGCTTTGTTCCAGCCACTGCCCTAGAAACCGGCACAGCTGCTGGGAAAAAACAGCAATTGCCGCACAACCCAAAGGCTTTCCTTGAAACAAAAAGCAACTGAAGCGCCTTTACCAGCTCATTTCTCAAGGAGCTGTTTCGATGGCAGATCTAGTTGTTGGCTGACGTTTCCCCATTGACCCAAAATAGTGGGTCCCCTTGGGTTGAGTTGGGAAACCAAAAAGGAAGCCGTTGCCATACAGGACCCACCCAACAAACAAAAGCAAAAGAAACCCGCCCAGACCACCCCTGCCCCCTCCCCCCCCCCAAAAAAAAAAAAGCAAAGCGGAATGAATCAATCAAAAACGACGCCCGCCCACTTGATGCGCATCTGGGGATGTCTTCCCCCCCCAAAAAAAAAACAAGACAAGATGAATCAATTAAAAACGAAGCCCGCCCACTTGATGCGCATCTGGGGATGTCTTCCCCCCCCAAAAAAGAACAAAGAAAAACGCAAAAAAAAAGAAAGAACAAAGCGAAACGGAAACCCCCCACTCCTCCCCGGCGACTTCTTCCCCCCTCCTCCCCCTTCCCGCCTGGCCGTCCAGGAGACCTCTGCCTCGCGTCTGAACTCGGCGCGGCTCATGGGCCAGCGCCCCAAGTGGCCCGAGCAATTGGGAGCCGCGCGGTGCAGGCGCCAAACCCAAACCCCGAAACTCGAGCTTGCGAGCCTCCTGAAGCCTGGGGTAGACTTACAAGATACATTTTACATTTTACCAGTGACTCAAAGTCATGCAAACAATAAAATAGGCATTCTGTAACTTGGCCTTGCTCCAATCATAAAACTGTTCGATACCGGGGGATGTTCATCTTGGGGGGTGCATTTTGTGATGGAGTTTGGTACTGTTGGAATCCCTCTAACAGGCGGATATGCTCAAGAAAAGACACCCGGACCGGTTATTGCTCGAAATTATGGATTCCTGAATACCCTTTTTCGAGGGTAGCTCATTGGGTCCAGGCAAACCCGCCACTCTTTCCAGTTTGTGAATAGTAATTTGCCTAGATGTTCACCCAGTAGTTAGCAGTGCCGCCTGTTTGTCATCAGTGTTCCCCAACTAGTGATCGATCGGACGTCACTTCCCATTGTCTTAAGCATATGTGTTATCTTCCTCTGGTGCTACAGGAAATGTAAATCACTAGAGCTGCTCTCAGAAATTTCTGGGAAAGTGTGAACTTACTTGTCCTTGCAAGGTTCACAAGATATGCGCCAGAATCCAGCACATGAAATTGGGGCAAAGATGAGGTTGACAAGGGGATCAAAAGGCAAGCCCCATAGTCTATAGCGGTTAAACCCACTTGCAACCCTGCTGGGTTACAACAAGTTTGCTGTGTTTGTTTCTGTCAGGGTGCCCTTTCTTGGAGGAAGCCAAAGGAAGACCATCATTGTCGGAGCCCTCAAATATTTAACCCAGATCGCCTGTTTCGATCGGTTTTGGGGGTAAAGTGCATGGAAAAAAGCAACTTGCGAGCCAGGAGTTCTAGTTTTCTGGGTACCCTTTCTTGGAGCAACCCAAAGGGGAGGGCCACATTGCCGGGGGCCCCGAAAAATATGTTCTGGATCTTTCAGACCGTAGCCGTAGGTACGCCAAGCGCTTTTTCGACTACTTGCGCCGCGCGCGGCACACCAAGCGCAGCTGCATCCTTGTGAGCCACGGCCACATGGTGCAGGCAGGATCTAAGCCGAAGCCGCTTGGGAAGGTGGGTCTCAAATTACCTGGACCCGAAGGAACTGCAATTCACCCACCAAAATGGTTGTCCAGCCAGAATGCCAGAATGGTGGTCGAACAACCCATTTGAATTCCCTGAATGCATGGGTTATGGCCCCAAAATTTTGGGGTGGATTCCCATATATTTTTGTTGTGGGTAGTTAGTTTGAGGGTCCAGGCAGCTCTAAATGGATATGAACCTAGGGAACCTCAAACAAAAGGTTGGTGGACATGAATCCCCAGGAAATGTTGATGTCCATCCGAGGTTTCTAATGAAAAGCTCATGCCCAAATGCCAAACCATTAGAAACCCTGAAAATATGTTTGTTTGTTTTTTCCTCAAGTATACCAAGAGCATAAGCATCAGAGGGCCAACATCCCCTTAAATCCAGGCGCAGGTATTGGGCGCAGTCTCTACACCCAATCCCGAATTCCAAAGACTTTAAATTCTCTAGATCTGGTATTTGGAGGGGGCAAAGAGGGGGGGAGGTCAGTTCCTTGTCCTTTGCAGTCGAATGCTTCCGTGTTGGCAATTGAGGGTGCGTCCTCTAAGCCAACTGCCAAAAAGGGTCCGCTCGGGGCTTCGTGTGCAAAACCCGGCACGCGTCCCCGTACCACACCCAAACGGAGTCTCTTGGAGTCCATGGATCGAACCCTTAGAATGCCAAGAAAGCATCATGGACAAACAAAATTCACCAACCAGCATAAGGTACGGGGCAATAGCCCGCTTTGATGTATTTTCAGGGTCCAGGTACCCTTTCATTGAGTTGTTGAGGTACCCAACTCATCTACTCCAAATACCCATTTTTCCAGGGTGGAAACCCCGACTTGTCAAAAACACGTTACAAACAAGTGGGCCGCTGGCGCTTTTTCAGGGGGCATGTTTTTTCACGCCCCGTGTTCATCCACCGCTCGAATGTCCGAATTTCCGCAGGTCTGCGCCTCGGTGCTGCCTGCCTGCATGCAGCGCAAGATCATCTCGGTGGACTACGCAGGCGGCGGTGGCGACGGAAGAAATCGATCAAAGTCGAAAGGCCCCGTTGGGCAATTTTGATTTTTCCCCGGGGCAACCAAGCGGCTTTCCGAAAGCAATGCCAACTCATCATGATGTTGCTGTTTTGTTTAAAACGAAAATACATATTTGAAGTATTGGGCGGAAATAGGGACCCGCGGATCGTTTTCTATTTACATTCTGGGGAACCCTGAGCGGTTTTTTCACAAAATGCAAACGAAAAAGAGAGGCTATTTGGAGATGACGGGGGTATCGGGACCCCGAAATCAGTGGATCCCAGCTGCTGCTAAAGTAGGCAACCCTTCGATCCATGTTTCTGTTGGCCCCAGCGGGGCGGAAAGCATTGGCTCCAAAACCTCTGCAGGAGTTGGGTTCCCATGAAACAGGGCTGGGCGCCCCCAAAAGTGCAAAAGTGGTCGGAATCCCAAGGGGGGACACCCCCAAACTCAACAAACAGATTTTGGCGAGCGACGATTTTCCCCAAAAGGCTTAGCCTTCCGGAAAGGCTAACTCAGACCAAGCAAGTTACTCCTGGTGATTTGTTTGAAGGGAGACCAAGGAAAAGGCCACCCCGCTTGGAGTGGCCGCTGAACGACAAGTCGACCACAGCACGAAAGTTTAGTTTGGCTCATAGCAAAGCCTAGCTAAACCTTTATAAGCATGCCCCGGACTCCAAATACCCGCCTTTAAAGGCTCCTTTCTAGGATA